CCTAATTGTCTAGGGGTGTCGTAATTATAATAACTTACCAGTCAGAAGCTGGTTGACGACACGGTCGGAAGCACCACCGGCGTCACCCTGGGAACCACCACGCGACTTGGCGATGGAATCCAGCTCGTCCAAGAAGACAACGCAAGGAGCAGCGGCGCGAGCCTTGTCGAAGATATCACGAATGTTGCTCTCAGACTCACCGAACCACATGCTCAGAAGCTCGGGGCCCTTGACAGAGATGAAGTTGGCAGCGCACTCGTTGGCGACAGCCTTGGCCAACAGGGTCTTACCAGTACCAGGAGGACCATAGAACAGAACACCACGAGAAGGTGAAAGACCGAACTTCTGGAACTTCTCGGGGTGGTCCACGGGGTACTGAACGGACTCGATAAGCTCGCGCTTGACCTCCTCGAGACCACCAATGTCGTCCCAGCGGACGTTGGGGACCTCGACAACGGCAACCTCGCGGAGAGCGGAGGGGTTGGAGACGCCCAGAGCGTAGCGGAAGTTCTCCATGGTCACACCCAGAGAGTCGAGAACCTCGGCATCGATGGTATCCTCATCGAGATCGATCAGATCCATCTTCTCACGGATCTGCTGCATAGCAGCCTCGGAGCACAGGGAGGCCAAATCGGAACCAACATAACCGTGGGTCTCGGCAGCGATGGTCTCCAGGTCAACATCCTCACCAAGCTTCATGTTCTTGGTGTGAATCTGCATGATCTCAAGACGGCCAGTGGGGTCGGGAATACCAATATCGACCTCACGATCGAAACGGCCGAAACGACGAAGGGCAGGATCAATGGAGTTGGGTCGGTTGGTGGCTGCCATGACAACCACATTGGAACGGGCCTTCATACCGTCCATGAGGGTCAACAGCTGGGAAACGACACGGCGCTCGACCTCACCGTTGGTCTTGTCACGCTTAGGGGCGATAGAGTCGATCTCATCAATGAAGATGATGGCGGGAGAGTTCTTCTCGGCCTCCTCGAAAGCCTTGCGAAGGTTGGACTCGGACTCACCGGCCATCTTGGACATGATCTCGGGACCGTTGATGAGGAAGAAGAAAGCGCCGGTCTCGTTGGCGACAGCACGGGCCATCAAGGTCTTACCAGTACCGGGGGGACCGTACATGAGGATACCACGAGGAGGCTTGATACCGATAGACTTGAAGAGTTGGGGGTGACGGAGAGGCAGCTCGACCAATTCACGGATCTGAGCCATCTGTTTCCGGCAGCCACCGATATCGTCATAGCCAACCTCATTCAAGTTGCCCTCCTCATCCTCTCGTTGGATGGGCTCACCCTCGCAGTGAATAACTGTGTCCTGTGCAACGATACCGTACTCTGGGGGGTCGACCTCTACCACCTTAAATTCCACCTGGCGCATACCACCCCGGACGGTGAACGTGTCGCCAATTCGCAGGGGACGGTAGGCTTCGCGAAAGTAAGGAGCAAGGTAGACATCGAAGAGGGAGCCGGTCAGACCCTCGATGGTATCAGCGATGGGGAGCACAGCAATGCGCTTAGCCTAGAAAATTGCCGGATAAAGCACGTTAGTAAATGATCCTTTTGGCTTCGAAGACAAGCTGCTTCCGAAACTGATCCTAAACGTACATATTTAATATCGGGGCAAGGGTGGACGGTGATGATGTCGCCGTGCTTCACACGGAGATTGTGGCGCACGACACGGTTGATGCGGGCGCTGCCATCATCGAGATCATCATCGGCCAAAACAATCAGAACGGTGTCCTTGCGCTTCTTGCCCTTGACCAGGACTGTGTCACCGCGGAAGAGCTGCAGGGTTTCCATGGTGTTGTTGGAGAGGGCAATAACGGAGTTGTCATCGTTGACGGCATCGGTCACACTGTAATGTATGAGCTATTAGCTGGCTTCTCACTATCGAAAGGCCGTGTTGCCCATCCGGAGGGATTTCCTTACATCAAAGAGTTGGGCTTCTTCTTCTTCTTAAGGATGGCAGTAGAAGTGTCGAGCTCCTGTTGATGCTGGGTTAGCTATTTTGCCGCCTGCTAGAGATGGGTCGTTGTTGGTTGTGGATTCGACTGACTTCCTTCTTCTCAGCGCCAGAGGCATCCCTGCAAGATCATGAGTCAGTTAAGAGCGATCTATCACAGATTGCAACGCAAGGAACGTACTGAAGATGGACCCTCTTCTTTTCGTGAGTGTGATCCGGCTCCGCAGACATGATGAAGTATCTGAGGTTGTGACGTTGATGGGAACCGAGCTTGGGAAACGGAAGGGTTTAGGTGTCCACAACCGAGCAGATCGGCTCGAGTGGATGGAAATGGGAAATGAAAACGGATAGAAACTATGAGAGGGATAGAGAGATGCGAGAACCGGCAGATCAGTGAGTGAACCTGACGGGTGGGAGGAGATGTGAGAGGTGAGGCGTTGAGCTTCCCAAGTACCCGTAGAGGCAGTGAGTGACGATATGTGATGACCTAAGCTCCATATATTATGTCAGCTGGCCGACCGCCACCGGCGAATCTGATGGAAGTTGGTCGATCGGACTGATGCCTGAGTGCCTGAATGCCTGAGCGCCTGGGGTATCGAGTGGGTTTAGCCGCGAAGATCTTCAAAGATCACCTGAGCGACGCGGAGGCTCAAATTGAGCGAACTCAATGGAGCTAGTCTGCTAAGGGACCCTAGAGCCGGGGCTTTCTGAAGCTAGCTGCATGCATTCAGGTACCCTTGAACCAGGGTGAATTTCCTGTGGTTGCCTTGTCCATGGAAGCACTCACAACGCCTGGCCCATGGGCCAGTTGCACCAAAAGGGTTGTGTATACTTGCCTCGATACCCATTTCTCGCGGCTACATATCCCAAGGCAATCCTTTTATATACTTGCGCCTAAGTTACCCTATATGGAGAGTTTAATTTCCAACTCATTGAGACTTGTCTTGATATCATTTCTCACCCACTCTCTACAACATTTCCAAGTGTGCTTTGCATATCCCTTTTCTTCTATTCACTTCAGCTCGGACACGGATGAATGACTTACGAGCCTTGAGACAAACGGTATTTTATCTTTCTAACAGAGATGACTATCAATTGATCTCTCACGCAACCATCTCTTAGTTCAACACTGCCGTCCAATACTCCACTGACTTCACTCAAGGCGGTGGCCTTGCACTTTACTACCATACAATATATTGCTACACATTCTCAAATTTCAGACTCACGCCTTGGGCTTTCTTGAGATCGTCAGATCAGTAATACCTTCAGAAATGCCGCTCCCCGCTAATATGGCGCAACTCCCACAAGACTACTATACCGCAAGAGCCAACATCTTCCCTGATGCCAAAGTGGACACTCTCATCCGCCAGCATGACAGCTCACCTCGCTTCGTCTATGGACCCCTGATTCTTCCCACTGTGCTAAAATACTATACCGATTCACCCAAGACATACCCCATGGAGAAATACATGACCAAAGCTACTTTACATGGCTACGAGTTATATCAGATCGGCGAGAAATGACTCCGAGTGATAGCACGCTCACCCAGTCCTAACGCCGTCGTGAAGGGTATGCTGGTCTTCAAACTGGAAGACAGCAAGCGGAATGACATATCTGAGCTTGAATTGGTCTCAAGCATTCAGAGGCCGTTCAAGTGAAGATCGAACGTACAGCGGGGAGAAAGCCCACTCGTTTCGTCGATGCAGGTACATTCGTCTGGTCGGGGTCTGTGGATGGCCTGATTCGCATGCATTCCACATCCTGGGATCCCACTTCATTTGTCAACAGCGCCTTTTATCGGAACATTCAACAGTCGGTATATCGATCGGCAAAGGATACTGGGGACTCTTGATTCAAGATTCGCAGAATGATATTTGGGTAAGGTCTCTTTTGCACGAATTGGACCCGTGCCTAAGCGAGACAGCTCTAGACGAGAATAGGGCTAGTCAAGGCTGGAATGAAAAAGCTTTCCATTTCTCTGATACTATATCTTGGCTCTATGAACCCCCCCTTTCCATCCAAGTCCCCTCCCCCAAGAACGCTCCGCCCAATGAAAAAGATACCCACCGTCTATGAAGACTTCCGTTGCATGCCTAACATGATGACATAGCGAGACATTGCTTGATTCACCACAAATTGCATTTGATACTTTCGACAAGTAATACCTAACTGGAATCAGATCGAGCTGTAAAGATCCCTTTAATATTCAATTAGACGTCAACAACTGTAAAGGTCATTGGAAGACCCTAAGCTACTACTACTTCGAGAAATGAAGTTAGATTGGTGATAAGAGTAATAAAACGACATAGCTTCGCTAATGACCAGTCATGATCGCCAATTCACGAAGGAATTCCATCACAGCCTGCTAGAAGTATCTGAGATTAGAGCTCATACGAATGTACTTATTGAATAGCCAAAATACGGTACCCCTTCTCAAATAATAATCCCAATTGTCCAACACAATGCCATTCTATTACGTTACTCCCACCATGAAAACAAGCGGCCCTCATCAAAGCTCAAGCTCAACGACCTGCCTTATCGCGTCAACATACCCGATTCAACCGCGACCCTCTCCCCACCCGCTAGCAAGTTCCCCACTGCGATAATGCGGGACGCCCCGGATCCAATCTTCTCGCGCTCAACGTACTAGATTTTAGTAAAGTCCTTGCGAGGCATTTGCTCATGAGAATATGGGGCCTGGTCTGGCGTAATTTGAGAGTTCCACTGTAGTGCGAGTTGTAGGGAGGTTTGTTGAGCACGATGTCCTCGGGCACCTTTAGGTCAAGGTTGCGGCGCTCGCGGGATTGTGGGAGTTAGGCTTTGATTTGATGCCCCCTGTTCTCTATTATTGAGAGGTGTTACGGATCCAACTATGTACATAAAAGTGGACGTGGTTGAGAAAGAGAATCCGGCCATACTAATACAAATGCTCTCTTTGAGATGTTGAAAAATCAGAATGGTATAATCCGAAACCAAGAGAAAAAAAAAAAATGTCTGAAAACAAAATAAATGACAAGATCCTGCTCCTAAGCCTTAGATGTCTGAGCCCAATGATCACGTAGACCCCATGCACCAGCCATGAAACTAATCAATCCCGTGAGATTTTCGGGAATCCCAATACCCTGGTCCAAACACCAGTGCAAGCACAAGGGCGCCCAGATAGTATTATTAACGAGACTCTTGCGCCATGAGCGGATCTCCAATCGAAGCGCCTCTTTCTCCTCCGCTTTGATCTCCTCCTTGGTCTCGCTGGTGATGGCGGCCTCGCGTTGTGCGGCGAGACGTCTCTTGCGGAGAATGTGCTGTCGCCATAGAACGAAGAATTCGAAGAAAATGTGTCCGAACCAGCCTCTACAACTCCAGATGTACCATTTATCAATTCCGCCGTATTTGTCGACGAAGCGCTTTGGTAGAACGTTCTTAGATGCTAGATAGGCCACGTTCTCGAGGAGTTGGTAGATGACGTTCGAGATGACCTGGAGCATTGTCAAGGCGTAAATGATGGGGTCTTCCGGTGGGTTTTTGAGTGTCTCGGAGCCCCATATCCATAGTGGGAGGAGTCCGAATAGCCGGAGATTGTATCGGGTTTCCGAGGCGAGTGAGGATAGGGCTGCCCACTTGGAGCCGGACGGGGCTGGTTTGCTGGTATATGATGCGGTGCGAGTCTTGATTCGAGCGAGAAGGAGGAGTTTTGTCTGAAAGGCTTTCCAGGCTGTTGACCCGCAGACATGGCTGAGGATTGACGCGACATAATTAACAGTCGCTAGCACCCTCTCCTGCCCGGCGGCAGTGGACAGGAGACTACCGAGTCGGTCAGCTGGCGATATTCGTATTCATGGCCGAGTTGGATTGTAAAAGGACGCGCAGAACAACCCAGTCCTATACATGCAGATTGGGAATATACTTACAGATCTAATCGACGGATGGTTACGTCGGTAGCCGTCAACGCGGCCATCAGTTGTTGCTGTGTAGCCGGTTTCCCCGCGGATATTGGACTCTTCCCCACATGCTGAACGTGATCCGCTGCGTCGGAGATGTCGGGAGGGTGCTCAGGGTCTGCCATCCTTGGAGAAAGAATGTGGTGGATGGGGGAGAATGTAAAGGAGCGACGTATTCTGTATCAAAGAAATCAGAAGATAGGTCCAAATTATGTTGGTCCAGCGAACGGAACCCGCGTTGCCTGTAATCGCGGAAAGGAACCGAGGCTCCGAGGCTCTCTCCGAGCGGGCTCACACGAGGAGAAGGTTGGGACTGCCTCCTTCGGCCGCCTTTCGCGCGGCTCCACTTTCATTGCCCGCGGGCCATTTGTCGTCGGGGTTTTGCAACATGTTGTTGTGTAGCGCGGGCTGATGCTATTGGCTTGATTCTTTCATGCACCAAGGTCACAGAACTCGTGTCGCTCGAGCGGGCCGTTGAAACTTGACAGAAGTGTGGTTTTATTCCCTTGTCATGGTCTCGGCGCCCGCGGATGCCAGTGATGCTCATAATACGATTGGGGGGTTTCCCTTCGCAGCCACCCGTTGATATCTCCACATCTCCACATTTTCGTATCCTTTCCTCTGGTTGACGGTCAAAACCCTTCTTAGTCCAGCAAGTTGTGAGTGAGGCGCTTCTCCTTATCTCATTCTGATACCAGTCACCAAGATTAAGGGTTCGTTGGTAATGACATTCGCGGCGCACGAATGGCCCCTTGCTTGAACCATGCTACCGAAGCAGCTTAAATTCTGGGACCCAAAGGTGACGACCCATCACTCAACAGTCACCTCCACTGGGCTCACTGGCTCTCTTCCTCTTCCTGGATTGGCTGAACGCCTAGTTCCACAGCCAGCCGTTCCGGATGAATTGGGATAGACCACGCGTTGTCGCCGAGGAACGGGACGAGTTGTGTACACGCCTGGGGGCTTAACAGGTAAAGGCACTGACACATCTGACTGCGTGTCATGCGGCGGTAGAGAACCATGTGGCCTATAAAATCGATGAAATGCGTCTGGTTAGACCCGATCATTTCGGCCATCAAAAGCATAGGGAGGAGATCGTACCCGCCAACGAATCGAGCCGTTTCCCACCACAGTTGGAATTCAGGGCTCCAGTCCCAGTGCCGGCAGTGCTCGTGCATATTACGCAGCGTGGCGGCATTCGAGAGTGGTCGATCCAGGTATTCTGGGATTCGAGGTGGTGCGAGGTATGGCTCGTTGATGATGGCGTTGATACAGCCCCAGGCTTGTTCGATGAATCGAGGCTTGCAAGCCAGACAGGCGAGTAGGCGGCAAGTCGTAGCGGGCTCCGTTTTCTCTGGTAGAGTTGGTGTGATGGTCTTGTCCGAGGTACTCTCATCGTCGTTGGCAAGTTGGCTCTCGACCGCCTGGCTGAGCGATGCGGCCAGTACCTTGGAGCTCCCAGCAGGCTGTTTGTTCCCTTCCTGTGTAACTCGGCGTCGCTCTGAGGCTGACAGCTCTAGCACTTTGATCTTCTGGTCCAATAACTTTGTGACCTGGGCGTCGGTGTACTCGCCGCGGACGATGGCCTTCTGCACCCACGGCGCGAGGATACTGACATCACGGATGATTGGCTCGGTGTCGGGAGAGAATGGTGAATAGTCTGGCGTGTCTGCGATGCACGTCCAAAGCCATCGATCAGTGTTCCCGCAGTGCTGACATTTGGGAGATGTGGCTGTGGACCAGGTACGCAGGACTGCCTCATGGCCGCACCATGCCCCTCCACGCGGGGTGTAGCGCTTCTCTCGGGTGTCCTCTGGGCTGCCTGGCTCGTAGACTGGACGTGACGGGATGGTGGGCTCGGCCAAGTATGAGAGGTCCAAGGAATCTTCCTTGAGGAGATCCTCGATGAGTTCAACGATGTTGTCTTCAAACCCAAAGTCGAAGGTTCCGGGGTCCCAGTCTTGGTCGACAGGCTTGATTGGAAGGTCGGAATCCATGATCTCTCACCGGGGTTGATCTTGTGTGAAATCGATGAACTACTATTGGTCACGTGTGGTGAGGAAATGGGTCAATGTAGGTACGGATTTGGTTTCCAACGAGCGCTCAGTCAGAGTTTTGGGGGGGGGGGAAGTCGATAATGATGAAGGTCCGGTAGGGTGATGTGAGAGAGAGACGCGTTGGGGAACGCGAAGGACGATGAAGTGAGGTCGACAGCAGGCTTGCCATTGTTTTACTGCCCCCATTCTTTCTCACGAAGCATTGAGACCAAGCCTAGATATTCTCTTGTCTATCTTCATTGTCTTCTTTATGTATGCATCATTCTCCCTCCCATTCTCCCTCTAATTCCCCTCTATTCTTGTTGCTGATCCCAGTGGTACGTTTGTCTTATATAAATCCGAGATAGCTTCTTCTTTCTACTAAACAGATCCTGTAGAACTGTTCCTCAATATGTAAAAAAGCTCGTGACTAGTAATATCACTATGCGATTCATCGAAGGCAGAGCTATTGACAGTGGATGGAGGCTGAAACCTATGTTCCGCCACTGGGACTATAACTAGACTATCTATTTCTAGTACTTAGCTGGGTTACGTTTAACAGACCCAGTGGACATTCAGGACCACGTGACGATAGGATTATAACTGTGCAAGTTCTTGTTGTATAATCTGTTAGAGCCAAGTCAGGGGGTCACAACGCGGCTCTCTGACTCGGAGCCTCTTGCCGAATTGACCTCGGCCGAGAGAGAGAGAGAGAGGAGGGGGGGAATTAGTCGCAGGGTAGATTATTGTAAACACATAATCTCCGGCAAATGAGGAGTTACTATATGAAATATTTGAGTGAAATGGGGTGGAGGAAAGGATCCTTATCAAAAGAACTATAGAGCAATTGCCGCTCTTTAGTCGTGTCCATGGATCGATGGAAAGTGTCGGTTGTGGGGAACCCCGAACGATTGCGGAGAAGAGCCCTCGGAAGAGGCAACTGGCCAGTTGGTTGGCCGGCCACGGCCACCAATACTTGCGGGATGGCCACTTTTATCTTACCCGTAGTTCTTCGTATATATTTCCGAAACACTTCTGTACAGATCATAGGTGGAATCAAACAGCTACTGACAAAATGTACTAGTTGACCCTTATTCATGATTGAATGTGTTCCTCCCACAGCCAGGACTAGTACGTTACTCTTAACTGTACCGATTTAAGCCCAGCGGGAGTCGGAGGGTTCCGACGAGCTCCGCCAATGGAACGATGGATCTCGCCGGGGCATCTTGGCTGGTCCTCCATTTGCCATTTGCCGACTCGCGAGACCGCTTCTCTTAATACAATTCCTCCCCCAGGCTTTTCTAGACCATCGAGACACAAATTGTCGACCTGGGTCCCCGTCCTTGCTAACCTGTGCCCTTTCTCTTGGTGATACGCATAAATTCGTACAATTTGTACTTTATCCAGGTACGTTGCCCCGGGGCCTCGGTTGTCCCCTTGTCCCTCTCTCTTCCCGTTCAGCCCAGCCCCAGCCTCTCCGAACTCTCTCCCCCCCCTCGGGCCTTCATAAACAAACATCGCCCTCACCCCAATCCACAACTTCCCCTGTCTCCCCCCACTCCACTCCCATCCGCTCTTCCTTCCACGCGATATCGCCGGTGATTTTGTTGCGGTCTCGCCGCCTTTTGGTCGCCATTTAATTGACCCGGTTTCCCCACCCACAGGCGTTCCCGGCATTCCCTACCCAAATCCCACCACCACTCGTACTCCTAATCTCTCGGCCCGACCATATCTCGCACCCCCATCATGTCCGTCAAGTTCCAAGAAGAGACCGTCCGCGCCGTCACGGGCAGCAAGCCCGAGGACCTCGCGCACCGCGTTGGTGAGCGATTGACTGGTGGAAAGACCCAGAATGGCTATCTCCAGGTATGTAGTCAAAGTCCAGAAGGGCCGATCGCGATCGGGGAACCCAGAGAAACATTGTCCCCGAAATGCTAATTCCGAGGAATGGATCGTCGCAGGCCTACCTCAAGCAGCTGCAGCATAACCCGCTGCGCACCAAGATGCTCACCTCCGGTGTGCTCTCCGGTCTGCAGGAGCTGTTGGCCTCGTGGCTCGCCCACGATGTCGGCAAGCATGGCCACTACTTCAGCTCGCGCATCCCCAAGATGTCGCTGTACGGCATGTTCGTTGCCGCGCCCCTGGGCCACGTCCTTATCGGCATCCTCCAGAAGATCTTTGCTGGTCGCACCAGCTTGAAGGCGAAGATCCTCCAGATCCTCGTCAGCAACCTGATCGTACGTATCGCCATTTCCCCCCACTCCGGACTGGGCGCGCATGCTAATTTCTCTACTCTGCCCCGTTACAGATCTCCCCCATCCAGAACAGCGTCTACCTGACCTCGATGGCTGTCATTGCTGGCGCGCGCACCTTCCACCAGGTTCGCGCTACCGTCAAGGCCGGCTTCCTGCCCGTCATGAAGGTCAGCTGGATCACCTCGCCTCTGGCTCTGGCCTTTGCCCAGAAGTTCCTGCCCGAGCACACCTGGGTGCCCTTCTTCAACATCATCGGTTTCTTCATCGGAACCTATGTCAACACCCACACCAAGAAGAAGCGTCTCGAAGCCCTGCGCAAGGTACGTACTACTACCCGCGAATCGCGTTGACATGGGGCGCGCGCCTATACTAACAACAATTCACAGCGCTATGACCAGCGCCGCGGCCCCGGTGGCGAGTACGAGAAGCGCGACTACCCTTAAATGGGACCGAGTCTGCGAACCTGCAGAGATGGCAAGAATCGAGATAAAGCAGAGGCAATCACGATATAAACAACGCGTTCGAGAAACGCACCGACCTCCGCTATGACCCGCCCACGACGATCCCATCTGCAGGCCGATTTACCCGATTACCCTTTAGTTTTTCTCTTTTGTATCTCATCCTTTTTCCTTTTTACCCTTTGATGCTTCCCTGGTGTTGAAACCTCCCTTTCCATCCATGTACACACTTTGTGCCTGATATTTTCTTCTTCCTTGATGCTTATTTCCCCCTCCAATCTTACGACGAATATCCTTCCCATATACAACGAAGATAAAGACTTGTTTCTTTAATTTTCAGAGACGAGGTATATATGCTGGCTTTCTTGACGTGCATATTATGTAGCCGTGTCTCCTGTCTATCCGAGTATTGTAGAAATCGAGAATCTACAATACAAGATCTTCAAAAAAAAGTTTGAGAGGTAGTTCATGATATGTAGAATTTCTCAGGCTCTGGCTACTTCCTTCCCATCCCCCTTCACAATGGAAAAGAGGGACGTTTTGCCAACTCCTTCTACATCACCCTAAAGCTCCATCGCACTCCCATCCCCCCTCTTCCCCTGCACAAACGCCACAAAATCATCCAATGCCCCCGGCCACGCTCCATCAACACTCCACCACCCAAAGGCCTCGTCCTCCCTTGTCTTCCGCATAAAGACTTCCACCTGTTCCCACAAATCCTTGTTGACGGGCTTCTTGCCCCGTTCCTCCAGAAACTCGAGCCACCACTCGAGCCAGGGCGTGCTGGCCGTGCTCCAGGGAATACCGCCCCGGTCGGCGGTGAAGAAGAGTCGCCATTGTTCGGCGGCGAGGTCGAAGGGGAGGTTGCGTTGGCCTTGCATGCGGGAGATTGGGAAGGCGTAGCGGTAGATGCGGCGGAAGAGATCGGGGTTTGTGGGGATTTTGGTGCGGAGGGTGGAGGCGTAGGTGGCCATTCTGGGTATTGTGTCGCATCTGGGAGATTGTTAGTTCGGTTCTTTGTAGGCCGGGGAAGAGGTTGGTATTAGGTTAGGGTGGCAGAGGTCAACGGGTTGGGCGTTTTCCATGTTGAAATCAGCCGGGGGGGAAGGGGGAAACTTACTGTACTCCTCGCCAGCCGTCCACGAATCCTTCGCGGTTGAATTCGCCCATTGCTTCGCACTTGCATAGCTCCATGATTCCGAGACAGGTGACTTCGTCTAGTTGGACGTTGATATCGTTGAAATACTTCATGGCTCCTTCGATGCCAATGCTGTTAGGGCTGTCCTTGACATTGTCTGAAGAGAAATATTAGCATGGGGACATGTTGAAGGCTAGGACTGACTGTACCTCGGTACTCATCGAAGAGGCGACCTAAAGACTGGAGGACTACTGGACTAGCATCGGACTGGGGGCTGGCAAAATATCTGAATATAAAGAGAGGTGTTAGTCAAGCGTGTCATATATGTCGTACAGGGCAGAGCATGTCTGTGTCAGTGTGGTCTGATATGCTTTGAAGCTTGGTCGAGCTGATGCAGTGCTTTTGCGGGTGTTCTATAGGACATCCTAATGCTCGTGCATATCATATCGAGACAAGCACTGGAACTTGCAGACCAACTGGCAGCAGAGAATGGCCATGAAGCCCCGGTCACTTCGTGACGAGATACTGCCAGACGGACCCACCCGCAGAACGAAGCTCCCAAGATCAAAGCCAGAACAACAACGCACACAAAGTATCGATGTACAGGGACGCGCAGTAATCAGGCAACCGGGGAAGAACTCACGCGTCAACAGCTCGTTCAAGGTGCCATGATGCACCCTTCAAGAACTATAACCCAGCGTCAGCCATAGCTCACGCGACAAATTCCCAGCCCCATTTCTCATCTCGAGCACCCCTTGCGGAAAGCCCCAGAATACACGTGGAAAATGACACATACTTTGGCAGCAACCGGGTCCTTAGTATCAGTCAGCGCGACAAATTGCGCGATGGTCTGCTTCTGCGCAGCCGTGTAGGGCGGCATGGTGGGGGTGTGATATTGGGCCCCGCTTCGTGAGCTCGGCCGGGGACGGTGGTTAAGGGGGGAAGTCGGTCAATCGTATTTTTGAGCGGACAGAGGACGAAGGGTGAAGATGGAATGTTTGACAAGGTGAGCGGTCGTTGGAGCGGTAAGTATCCTCCCCCACGATGTGACGGCGATGGCTTCCCTTATCGCGATTACAGCCGCGGAATGAAAATGATGACTCAGCGTTGAGGCCTAAGGCGTCAATATTGTATTCATCTGTGGTTTGAGATTGTCATAAGCTTGACTTCTTCCACGGGCTCGTTATATCTGGTGTATCAAAATTTGCTCAAAATGCTACCGGGAGAATTATATATTTTTGATAAAAGTCAGTAAAGAGCGTTGATCTGTGTGTTGTACCAGAAGACCACCAGACTCATCCCGCAATATATTTCACGATGCTACTTGTTACTGCGCAAAAAGAGCAGAGTCGGTGCTATAAATTTAGAGAGAGCGCCCTCGAGCCAATTGATCTAAACCTTAGTAGGAAAGAAGAAAACTTAATTCTTTGACTGTATGGACATGTGTTGAAATAATAATATTCATCAAATGATCTAACTGAGCCCAGGTATAAAACCTCAAAGTCGAGGCAGACAAAGCACTTTTCACAAGACCAAAATGACTCCAATAACTCCATTCACTGATTTTCCACATCGAGTATGCCAATATCAACATGCAAGATTCGAGTCATCGAACGTTCCTTCTTAAGCGGTGAACAGGGAATCCTCCTGTTGAAACATTAGCAGCCGTCCATAATCGATGCAGAGCCGTTTTGATTCGGGATTCCGGGATATCCTTACCTCTCTGAGATACTCGCCAGCATCGGCCTGGCGGAAGACTACGATACCAGTAGGCTCAAGCTTCTTGGCCTCGGCAGTCGAGCGCGCAGTGACACCAAAGCCGAGAGGCTCATCGTTCATGCTGTAAACAATGACACCGCTGTGCTCGGGGCAATCCTCGCTCCAGCGAGCGGCGTGGGCCTTCAGAACGCTGATTTGGGCATTAGCATTTGGATCACGATCGTCTGGTAAGCATGTAAACTCACTTTCCACCGTACAAGAACGGCATCTCTCCATTCGCCTTGATCCAGACCTTGTACCGACTGTGAGGGGCAATGACCGAAAGCGCTGTAATGTGGAGTCTGAACTTCATCGTCTTCGTGAATTTACCCTGCTAATTGTAAGTAGACTGTACACGGAAATGCTGAGAGAACGACTAGCAGCGACTCACAATAATGGTACCCGCTGACAACAGGTTTGCGCGGGGAATGCTCGTGGCATAGTTGGCCAATCGCAGAGGGAGATAATACACCTGAGCAGTTGTTAGATTTTCCATCGCAACTAGGCACTTCCGATTCTCGTTGGACGTACGCGAGAACCCTGGAGACGGAAAACGTGGCGCTCGGTCTGTTCACCCTCGGGAGGCGCAATCAGGTTGTTCAAGGACCGACCAGTGTAGTTGGCAAGCTTGGAGAAAAGCCTGGACGCATTGTATTAGTCGGACCGCTGCTAGACCTGAGGTATTGGCTGCCTAACAGAGGCATGCAGAACTCACACTTTGGCTTCTTCCTCTGTTAATTCACGCATCTTGGCTGGATATAGAGTTTTCTTGGGGAATATTTCGGCTTGATCACGATCGAGACCTGCGGAGGTGGTTCCTGATCTCCATCAGGAAAAAAAGATAGGCGGTGTGGAAATGTCCGGCAGATAAATGCTTGGCGCGAAATTTTGAGGTTTGGTCCGCCTTCCGCCCGCAAGCCCTTCGAGTCTTCAACTGCAATCAAACACACGACGAAAACCACACAATGGCTCGTGGACCGAGTGCGAAACGGAGGCGCTTGAGCCCTCCTGGTGATAAAGAAGCGGCTGCTTCTCGGGATGCTGAGTTATACAGCGGTGCCGACGAATGGGACGCCGAACAAGACTACGAGCGTCGCCCGCGCAAATCGAACAAAAAAGATAACGAGCGCACCCGATTGCCCATCAAGACCTCGGAGGGATTCGTTCATGCAAATGAGCCCGAGGATGTAGGCGAGGAAACCGACAGCTTTTTGGGCACCGACGATGATGAAGAGGAGGGCTCGGGAGACGGCGAGGACAGCGAGGAGGAGGTAGTCGAAGAGAAGAAGCCCAAGATTCCCATCAAGGTTCAAATCTTGCAAGCAAAGGAGGATCTTGCTCGTATCGCTACTCTGATCAACGAGGACCCGGAGGAAAACATTGCGCTTTTCAAGACAATGGCAGATATGGTGGACAAACCCGAATCGCCCGTTACTGTCAAGAAATTGGCCCTGGCGGCGCAGGCTGCAGTCTACAAGGATGTCATTCCAGGATACCGGATCCGTCCACTTACCGAAGAAGATATGCAAGGAAAGCATTCAAAGGAGGTGCGCAAGCTGCGGAATTTCGAGCAGTCTCTTGTTTCCGGGTACAAGCACTACGTTCAGAAGCTGGCTACTCTGGCCAAGCCCGGCCGATTCAATGCGGCAACCGACTCCAGCTTGAAGAGCCTTGCCATCAACTGTGCCTGCACTATGCTTCAGGCCGTCCCGCATTTCAACTTCCGCAGCGAATTGATCAAGATCCTGATAAATCGTCTTGCGAGGAAGCAGATAGATGCCGATTTTATCAAATGTCGGGAAACCATGGAGGAAATCTTTGCCAAGGACAATGATGGAGTTGTCTCTCTTGAGGCGGTTCGTATGCTGGCAAAGATGATGAGGGCACGGGATTTCAATATCAACGAGAGCGTTTTGGATACTTTCCTTCATCTGCGCCTTCTCGGCGAATTCGCTAGAAAGGCGTCGCGTGACCGGGTAGACCGCAACGAGCCTGAGGAAGAGACAACTTTCGGCAAGAAACAGAAGCAAAAGCGCGAGTTCCGGACGAAGCGAGAGCGCAAGGTCATGAAGGAGCGCAAGGTTGTCGAGAAGGACATGAAGGTCGCAGACGCCCTGGTCTCCCACGAGGAGAGAGACAAGAACCAGGCCGAGACTCTGAAGCTTGTCTTCGGTATTTACTTCCGCATTCTGAAGCAGCGTATTCCCAACTTGATGGGCCCCGTGCTTGAGGGTCTGGCCAAATATGCCCATCTCATCAACCAGGATTTCTTCGGTGATCTTCTGGAGGCTATGAAGGATCTCATTGGCCACGCCGAGCGTGATGAGCTCGACCAGGCCGGTGAAGATGTCTCCGAGGACGAGGAGGAAGATGAACATCGCGAGGTATCCGACAGCACGAAACGAGATGCCCGCCGCGAGACTCTTCTATGTACAATCACCGCCTTTGCTTTGCTCGAAGGCCAAGATGCTAGCAAAGCGGCCAGCACCCTCCACCTGGATCTGAGCTTCTTCATCAAGCACCTCTACCGCTCCCTCTACGCCCTCTCCATCAACCCTGATGTCGAGTACAACCCCAACACCTCACTGCGTCTCCCCGACCCCAATACCGCCGAAGCCCATGCTGCCTCCAACTTCAAGGCCAAGAACAAGGTCAACTTCCAGACCCCAATGGTCCTGCTACTCCGCTGCCTGCAGTCAGCCCTGATCTCCCGCGCGCACGGCACCCCGCCGCCAGTCCGTTTGGCCACATTTGCCAAGCGTCTGATGACGACCTCCCTCCAGCTCCCCGAGAAATCGGCCATTGCCACTCTCTCGCTGATGAATCAGGTCTCCAAGCACCACGCCCGCCGGATCTCGCCTTTGTGGCACTCGGACGAGCGCAAGGGAGATGGTGTTTTCAATGCGTATGCGACTGACGTAGAGGCTACAAATGTTTATGCGGGCTCTGTTTGGGAAGGCGAGTTGTTGCGCCACCACTACTGCCCCCAGGTGCGGGAGGCGGTGCTCGATATTGAGAAGATGATGACTGGCACTGGCAACGGCACAAAATAAATGCGAATTCTTTGTGTATATACTCGTGGAGCGTGATGTTTTTTACTTGAGAACCCCCATTTTGTCTATTCATAGAAAAAAGCCCGCCTTCCTGAAAACAAAGACTTTTATTACGATGAACCCCGCGTCTGAGTGGTAGAAGTTCCCCGCGTCTGAGTGGTAGAAGTTACCGCTTCTTGTCTCGACAATTGAGTATTTCCGTTGAAATTGCATCTTACTTTGCTAAAGCTTCTGGAAGATTTTCGGTCCACGTTCCTTGAGTATTCCAATTAGTCCCACCAATGCCCGATCTAGATGACTTAGACTTGAGGTGACAGGAACACCGGGAAGTTGGTGATAACACTCATTTAATACCTGACTTACCTATGTCGTATCCGTATCTTTCCGGGTGAAGGAGCTACAAATTGAGTGATTGGAGATGGGAAATTCAACACTTTCCATGAACATGTAAATTCGGAGGGCTCAGGGATATGAATATCTGAAAACTACCTTTCATTATGAGACATCGTAGAGTCATGGATAATCTGTATGCATGGCAAATTCGAGCCGGAGATCTCTTTTGGGAATTAATCCATAGAAAACAATCATGAGAGACAAATCTTCATGCCATGCCATCAACATCAACATTAGATACATACCGTAGATCATGACTAGATCACAAACACCGAAGCCAAAACACTCCGTGGAGTCTTGATTCCATAAATCCTGAAGGATGCACGATTCTACCGCAGAGACGCGGTAGACTTGGCCTGATTCAAGGAACACTGATCCCAGTCGTGGTTCTCATCGTCCGCTCGATTGAGAAGGGGCCGGCGCATGTCTTCAATTGAACGGATGGAAATCGGTGCTTTCGGAACCTGCGTGAAGGGGTCTTGGTTAAATCTGTAACGCTCGGGAGAAAGCAACTCCCCGCTTGCTGCCCGAAGGTCGTAAGAGGACGCCAGGCTGGGAGCAACGGATGCACTGATGGCACCCATATGCTGACTATCGGGGCGAGAACGCCGATTGCCCATCCGTGCAGGCATGATTGCGGTCAATGGAGTAGACGGAATACCCAGGGACTCATCATGCATGACAGATTGCTGGACCTTGTTGCGGAATGCAGGATGGATTTGGCTTGCTGCTTGGATGTTATTCTCAATATTCTGAAGGACATTGCGAGGAATCGGTGGAGGGGGAGTGACCGAACGCGAACTGGCATTGTCCGAGGGCCTTCCGTCCCTGGAGCGACGGGGAAGCCAAGAGAGCTTGCTCGAGCCGTTGTCTGGGTCCTCGCTCTTTGTGTCACGTCGACGAAAGCCGAAAATGTTCCGCTTCTTTGTTTCTTCGCTGCCTGCAACCTTACTCTTTGAATGCTCGGCACTGCCAACTCTCTCGCGAATTTTGCTCTGAGATTCTGGACTGTTAGATGCAACCTTGGCAAGACTCTTCTTCATAGAAATGCTGCGTGTGATAAACGAGCCGGTCTCGTTTTTTGCAGGGGGCATTCCTCGTTGGCGGGACGGGATGGCTGTCACTGAACGTGGCAGAGGAGAGACGCGAATAGGCGGGAGCGGGAATTCTGGCTGTTTGATCAACGGCTCCGTACTTGCAGTGGTGGATTGACTAACGAATCGCTGAGCAGGACTGGGGGGAGGGAGTGACTTGGCTTGGTTTGCCTGCTTCTTGACGAGTTCCGCGATTTCTTTCTCCATCTTGAGGATATGCGCATCCTGATTTTTCATCAATTTAGCAGCTTTGTCAGAGTTGGCAGTCCACCTTTCAATGGCATCTTCTGTTCGCTGGGTCAGATCTTGCATAGAAAGAGCGATTTTGTGAAGCTCAGAATTCAAATCCTCCCAACGTGTGTTGTCGACGATGCTGGCGTACTGATCAGTTTCCTGCTCATGTTTACTCTCGACAGGGGTGAAGCGCTGCTCAGTTCCCTGCCCTAGTCTGCTTTCGATGATACCCAAGCGTTGGTCCATCACTCCCATCTTGACTTCGAGATCCAGCTTCAATTTTCTCATATTTTGAGAAATCTCCTTCTGGCGGGAATCAAGCTGAGCATTGGTGCGTTGAAGGTCTCTAACGCTGGTTACTTGGGGTTTGAGCTGATCTTTGATCCACTGTGACAGTTCTTTCAGTTCTCGAGCCAGACTGCTTATCCCTGTGTCAGCTTTCTGCTGGATGGCCAGAATCATGTCAACAACCTCCGTGTGCGTAGCCGTGTCGAGGTCTTTCATCTCCGGTGGTGTTGGCTTGTCAAGCGACAGGTTGATCGTTTCGAGACGCTCCTCAAACCCGAGCATGAAGTTGGGCAGCGGATCCGAGGTTGGTGTTGTGACCTCTTGATATGGAGCCTGGGCTGGACGCATGTACCTGGCAGTTGGCGAAGGGGTTGAAGAAGATGAGCTTTCCAGCCAGCCCCGGGGCAGGTACTTGACCTTTCCTGAGCCCTCTGTGAGATCACTCAGTTTTGGGGGCGAGCCTCCAGTAGGGGCATAGTTGGATGCAGGAAATGCTGGTGCCAGTGGTGACCGCGTTTTGGCGTCAGGCACAGAGCGACTCTCCAGAGAGTTGAGCTTAGGCCTTTCACGGAGATCAGGTATACTCCCCTTGGCGGCAGTGGTCGGGACTACCTTGGTTTCCACACGTTCAGCAATGGTCGTCCCCTGTCCCCAGCTATCAACTCGTTGACCAGCCAGAAATCTCCGAGCAGTCATAGATCCTTGCGCGTGAGTGTACGTTCCCGAAGGAGCAAGCGGGATCCTGCTTGGGGCTGAGTTGTGCTGTGACAGGGACACAGGAGGTGTGAGAGGAGGGGCAGAGACTTTGATATTCTGCCCAGGCGTAGGGGTGTAGACACTGGGTGTCAAGCCTGTAGTACCACTGCTGGTGGTGGAACGCGGGGGAATAGTTACCTTCTCGATGGAAGGCATGGGAGGAAAGGTGGTAGCTGTGTTATCACCCTTGGTAGCTTCCCTACGAAGGTCCTTGAAGCTAAACTTTGACTTGATAGCTTCAAGGCGGGTCATTTTCTTCCCGTCTGCCGATGTAGTCAGTTCGGGAGTTGCCCGAGCACATGCTGCGTCAGGCACCGAACGCTTCTTCAGCAGGCGGGGATGAGAGCTGGGCCGGGGAAGTTCTGCACCCTTCGCCGAGTTCTCGTCATTGGCATTCTCACCCCGGATATGCGGCTTAGGCATGGGCAGTGCCAGTTCCCCGTCGTAGTCAAGACCAGATCGCTTTCTGGTCATGCAAGGAGTGGGCTGTTCCAGGGGACTTGTAGGGTTCAAAGTCCCTAGATGAGAAGTCACTGTTAGTCATCTCTTTGTTGAGAACACAGAAGAACTTTGTTCACATGTGGGAAAGAGCACGGCAGACATATGTATCGGTTGGATCACTTACCGGAACTCTTGCGGGGCAGTCCGCTCAAGCCCTCGCCGCGGGCCCTCATCATAAAAAACGCGTTGCTGTGTTGATATGAGGGGCTAGACTGGTCGAGTTCGACCAGAGACACAGCAGCCGCGGGCAAATTGTCACCAGAGCCCACTTCATCACCACTAGGAGGGCCAGCCTGATGAGTATCGAGCCGCAGAGCTGCAACTCGAGAACCAGGCTTCTTCCCTCTCGGCAGGTCGCCTTGGTTATCCATCGTGAAAATGAGATCAAGATAGGGAGGTGGGAATCTGATGAAAAATCAGGATGAAGGTGAAGGGTAAAGGCGGAGGGATGGAAAAGGAAAACGGGGCAGAAGAGGGGAGAGGACGAAGGTGAAGCGAAACCAGTGAAGGGAAGTTGGGATGCGACGCGAAGGTAAACAAACTGCAGGAAGAGGGCAACTTCCGGATACGGTCACGGTCACCTACAAAGCACGCTTCAAGAAGAAACAAGGTTAAAATTGATCATATCCATTCATTAGGTTCATAATAAAAGCCTCGTTAGATACACACTGGCGACGAGCCCTATCTCGAAGACTGAATCTTTCTCGAGTAATGACATTGTCCGCCAACGTGAGAGACAAAGGAAATTCATCATAAAAAAACAACGCGGACAAAACAGTAGTCTCCGCCGAGGAGGAAACCACAAGCACAAAAAAATCCGAGATAGACAACAAGGAAAATCGTAATCAATACAGGGGAATCAATAGTGGAGATGAAATCGAAACATTCTGACAACTTTCGTCAAAGTCAAACACGATGAATGGGCTTTGTAGGTCGATGCTAGCGAGCACCAGCTTTAGAAGAAGCCACTGGACAAGAGGATTGCAAGAATAGGCACCGCAGCAATGGTAGTCCAGAACAGGGACCTGATCAAAGCAATGTTAGTAGACTGCATTATGTTGAAGAGAGATCACGCCAAGGAAAACCCCGGAATGCCTCTCCCCCAAGTGCAGAATTCATAGACAAGAGCAAATATATGGGTTGATAAAGGCTCTCGTCAGTTCCAGCACAACCTTATTTGGCAGACTTGCCACGGCGGCGGAAGGGGGAGAAGATAGTGCCAAAGAAGCCGCCAAGGACAGTGCGGAAGAAAGCCTTGAGCCAGTTGTCCGACGCACTATTCAGAGAAACAGCTGTCACTGACCGGTTCTGGCTCACGGGACGAGCATCTTCCTCGTTGGCATTGCTAGTCGCAGCAGTCTCGGGGCTGAGTTGGTTAACAGCCTTCGGGCTAGACTCAGCGGTGGATTCGGGTTCGTTTTCGACACGAGTCTGCTTGTCGTTCTTTGTGGCGGTATGCTCAGCAGCGGCAGTGGTCAGCTGATCCGTGGAGGGCTGGTTGAGTTTGTGGAGCAGGGCTTCACGATCGCCTGCGAGGGCTGTCAGAACCGGATCAGCTTCGAAGGACGGCACGGACACATTGTGCGAGGTAGAGAATGGCGTCGGCTTACAGTCTTCGGTCGGTTGTTCCGCGGCAGGGGCCTTGTTATCGGCCTTGTCGTCGGAAGGAGCTTCGTGGGTGGCGGTGACAGCCGAGTCTGTATGCTTAGCCTCGGGTTCCTTGTGCAGAACAGACGACACGCCGACTGCAGCGACACCGATGGCGGCAGCAGCCGCTCCAGCGCCGAGAATTTCGGGTGTCAAAATGCTGTCCTTAGCAGCTTCCTCGTGCTTCTCTTCTTGAGGAGCAGGGTCCTCGGCCACAGGTTCCTCAGTCTGAACAAGAGCAGAAAGGACCTCCTCAGGTGCGGCAGGCTGCTCAGAAGTCTCGTCCTGCTTGTTCTCAGGCTCGAGTTCCTTCACAGTCTCCTCGGCGATGGGTGCCTCTTCCTTGGAGACTGGGGTATCCTCTACCTGGGAAGGCTCCTCAGTCTGAGTAACAGTTTGGGGCTCCACCGCAACGGGAGCGGGCACAGGCTCGACCGATTCCGCAGGCTCAACAGGAGCGGGCTCATCAACAGTAGGGGCAGATTCCTCAGAAGCGGGAACGGGTTCCTCCACAGCGGGCTCCGGAGCAGTCTCAACGACCTCAGTTACGACAGGGGACTCAGACTCTGCCACCGGCTCTGCCAGTTCACGAGTAGTGACATCCTCCGCCACGGGGGCATCGGTAGGAGCAGGCCTGGTGTTGGATTCAGCAGCAGGAGCCTCCTCAATAGTGGGCTCCTCGGCGGTAATCGACTCCTCCGCAGCAGCAACGGGCTCCTCGGTAGCTACAACGGGGACAGATTCCTTAGTAGCAGCAGCAGCAGCAGCAGCAGGAACTTCCTCAATAGTAGGCTCCTCGACGGCAACCGACTCCTCCGCAACCGCAGCGGGCTCCTCGGTAGCTACAACAGGAACGGTTTCCTCGGCAGCAGCGGGTGTAGAAGTCGCGTCCTCAACAACGGCGGCGGCCTGTCCAGTGATAGGATCTTCGACAGTAGGAGCAACGGCTGCCGCCTCGACTTCCTTTTCTTGGATAGGCTCGACGACAGGTTCCTCGGTGGTGGACTCCGCAACCTTTTCTTCGACGGGCGCGGCGGCAGGCTCCTCGACAGCGGGCTCCTTGACAGCAGGCTCCTCGACGGCAGGCTCAGCAGGAGCAGGGACAGCTTCCTTAGCCGCTTCGGCAGTCTCAGACTCGGCGATAGGCTCCTCGGTAGCCTTGCTAGCCTCCTCGGCGGACGTGGAATCCACGACATCAGACTCGGTAGCAGCAGGAGCCTCAGTGACGGCGGGAGTCTCGACAACAGGAGTCTCGACAAGTTCAGCCTCAGCGACAGGTTCCTCAACCTTCTGCTCCTCGACAGCCGGGGCCTCGGGCTCCTGAACAGAGGTCTCTTCAGCAGCAACGGGTTCGGCAGCAGCAGTCTCAGCTTCGGCCGCCTTCTCATCAGCAGGCTCAGGGACGGTCTCCACCACCGGCTCCTCGACCACCTTCTCAGCAGTCTCGGTGGAAGTCTCGACAGGAGCTTCGACGACAATGTCCTGAGCAGGCTCTTCAGTGGGAGTCTCGACGACAGTGGCGGCTTCAACAACGGGATCGACAGCAGCAGCGGGGGCGACCTCCTCGGCAGGCTTCTCAGTAGCGTCGTCGACGGCGATATCCTTAGCGGATTCTTCAGCCTCTTGTTCGACCTTAGACTCTTCCTGGACGGGCTCCTCAACCTTAGCTACCTCGACGGGTGTGTCCTCGGCCTTAGATGCGTCGGTAGCCTCCTCCGAAATAGCGGTCTCGGCAAGCTCATCAACCGGGGCCTCTTCAGTAGTCGAGGGCTCGATAGTCTCGGCTACGGGAGCAGGAGTTTCCTCGGTCTTAGTAGCAGACTCTTCAGTAGTGGCAGCCTCAGTAGCTGAGGGCACAACAACCGGCTCTTCGACCTTGGATTCTTCTTTGGTCTCCTCGACAGGGGCTGGCTGCTCGATGACGGGTTCTTCAACCACGGGTTGCTCAACAGCAGCTGTCTCGGCGACGGGAGCCTCCTCAGCCTTCTCATCAGCAGTAGAAATTTCAATTGATTCCTTAGCGGCTTCGGGGGCGACCTCGGCGACTGGTTCCTGGACTGCGGGCTCCTCAGCGGCAGTCGTTTCGATGGGAGTAGAATCCTCCACCTTCTCCGCCTCAGCTGTCTGCTCCGCGACCGGAGTTTCAGTTGTCTCCTGGGTGGCTTCAGTGACCTTTTCCTCAGCGGTTTCCGCAGGTGCAAGTTCCTCAACAGCAGGCTCTTGAGTAACAGGCTGCTCGGCAACGGGTACCTCGACGGTGGCGGGTTCTTCAACCTTCTCCTCAGAAACAGGCTCCTGAGTAGCAGGCTCGGTAGTTGTAGGCTCTTCCACCGTCTCCTGGGCAACAGGAGTTTCAGTCGACTCCTTCACAGCCTCCGTGGCGGTCTCTTCGGTAGTGGGTTCTTCGACAATGACAGCCTCGACGGCGGTAGGCTCTTCAACATCCTCCTCCGCAGTAGGGGCTTCAATGGTCTCCCGAGCGGGCTCCGAGGCTTCCTCTGGGGCAGTCTCTTCGATAGCAGGCTGTTCAGCAACGGGTTCCTCGACGGTGGCCGGTTCTTCGACCTTCTCCTCAGTAACTGGGACTTCCTTAGAGGCAATCTCCTCGGCAGTGGGTTGCTCCATGACAACGGCCTCAGCTGGGGCGTGATCTTCCACCTTCTCCTCGGTGACAGGAGTTTCAGTGGACTCCTTGACAACTTCAGAAGCCTCCGGGGAAGTCTTCTCGGCAGCAAACTGCTCAACAACGGTGGCGTCAACAGGAGCAGGCTCCTCAACCTTTGCTGCTTCGACCGTCTCCTCGGCAGCGGGAGCTTGAGTTACCTCCTCAGCGGCCTCAATGGCGGTACCTTCGGCAACAGGCTGTTCGACAACGGTAGTCTCGACGGGGGTGGGCTCTTCAGCCTTCTCCTCAGCGACTGGAGCTTCGATCGACTCTTGAGCAGCCTCAGGAACTACCTCGGCGACAGTCTCTTCGGCAGTAGGTTGCTCAACCACGGTGGTCTCGGCGGTGATAGGTTCTTCGGCCTTCTCCTCAGCAGCAGGAGCTTCCTCGGAAATAGTCTCCTTGGTGGTAGGCTCCTCAACGACGGCACTCTCTGCAGGGGTGGGCTCTTCAACCTTCTCCTCAACGGCGAGAGCTTCGGTCGACTCTTGGACGGGCTCGGGAGCCTCCTCAGTAATAGTCTCCTGAGCGGCAGGCTCCTCGACGCTGGTAGAAGGCTCTTCAACCTTTTCCTCAGTCGCGGGGGCGTCGGTCGACTCCTCAGCGGTCTCAGAAACCACCTCGGGGGCAGTCTCTTCAGCAGCAGGCTGCTCGGCAACGGGCACCTCGACAGTGGCGGGTTCTGCAACCTTCTCCTCGGCAGCGGAGGCCTCCTCGGTAATAGATTGCTCAACAGTCTGGGTAGGAGTAGGCTCTTCAACCTTCTCCTCGGCGACGGGAGCTTCCTCAGGGGCAGCCTCCTTGGAGGTAGACTCCTCAACCTTCTCTTCGGTGGTAGAAACCTCAGCGGATTCCTCTGCTGCAGGCTTCTCCTCAGAGACCTCCTTAGGCGCCTCAACAGGCTCTGCCTTGGCAGATTCCTCGACAACGGCTTCCTCCTTGGATTCGGCGGTGGAAGCCTCGGTTGAGAGGTCTTCGACGGGAGCTTCCTTAGCTGGCTCCTCAACGGTTTCTTCAGTGGGAATCTCCTTGGTGACTTCGGGGATCACTTCTTCCACCTTTGACTCTTCGGTGGTGGGCTCCTCCGTGGCGGTCTCGATAGTCTCCGGGGCGGTCTCCACGTTCTCTTCGGCAGTAGTCTCGGGCTCCTTGTGGGTGACAGGCTCCTCAACAGGCTCAGCGGCCTTGGGCTCCTCTGCGACAGGTTCAGGTGTAGATTCTTCGGTAGCCACCGGCACGGGAGCATCCTCTGCGGCTGAAGGAGTTTCGGCGGGGGTCGTCTCCTTCTCAGAGACATCAGCAGAAACAGAGCTGATGCTCTCCTGCTTCTTCTGCTGCTTCTTCTTGTTCTTCTTGGCCTTCTTTTTTTGTGCCGCAGTCAGAGGGACTTCCGGTTCGGCAGTAGTGGACTCGCCATTGGTTGCGGACTTCTCGTCGATGGCGATTGGGGTGGCCGCGAGGACGGGCTCCACCGAGATAGGGTCCTTGGGCAGATGCTCCTCCGACACTGCCGGAACGTTAGTCACATTGTCCGCACAGCTGTGAAAAATTCGAATAAATTAACACTTACCACTCTGAGTCGCCGCAGTCGCCATGGTTGTAGGTCGTTAAATCGTAACGGTCGTGAAATTAGTGAGGGGAATCAAAGAACAACGGATAAAACAGATTCGCAATTTGACCAGCAAAGTAGACGCAGGTAGAGGACGAGCTGTACAGATTGTCGCTCTCAGAGCAGGCGAGTGAAAGATGAGTTTTTGGAGAGAAAAAGTGAGATAGAGAGGTTTTCGAGGGAGTTAGAGTAGTAAGATTAGCAGGGTATGATGAGAGAAGATGAAGAAGAGAGGTAGAGGGAAGAGGGGAAGAAAAAAAAAGGCAGAAGCTAGGGCCACATGGAAACAATAACAATGACATCCGCTCGTACGGAACTATGGCTATGACTACCACGGACACCCGAGCCATGCGGAGTGTCTTACCCAAATAGAGTTACTGATAGGACTAGGAGCTACAAAAGGTGAAAAAAAATATCTACAAAGCAAAAAAGAAAGGAACTAGATAACAACCTCATATGCCCAACCCCATAGCCATCACAGGGGGAGTACTCTGTACGTTTGTCCAATTCTTCGTCCATCTGCCACTCCGTTCTTTGTACTCCTCACACGAGTATTTTTGTACAACAGCAGCCAGCATATGATTGACAAGGAGAAAAAAACAGAGAAACCGAATGATTGGTGGGGCCAGTTGTCACAGTGACCAGCTCGTGCTAGCTTCCAATGGCCATTTATTTAGTCTTGTTAGCTCTATTAGTCTTTTTAGTCCTCCTCCCGTTGGGCCACCAGTGGTTAGGTGTGAGCGAGAGAAACCTTTCAGATGCCCAATGGCCGCTGGGCAGTTGGGCCCACCGAACGGATGTCCAACATGCGGTGAAGCTGCCTACCGCCGAGGTTCCGTTAGTTCTGGTTCTTTGACCGTTCAGGTCCTTGAATTGAGTGAAATGACGAAGTTTAGTCAAGTGCAGGAGTTCCCCGGGCGTCCAATGGTCAATGGATCTACTTGCAATGCATGGCCGATCCTCGCGCTTAGGCTTTTGTTCCCTTCTTCGCTCTGATTATGAGGAGGTGGGTTGCCAAAAAGCACAGCACGCCTTTAAAAGCAGCTAGTAGCTCCTGCGGGACCCCTGGGGACTTTCTCAGAGTCAAAGGACCGGGGATCGTGTGCGACAGGACAGGTCATGCTTCCCTGTGGCTCTCTGGTCAAGAAGTATTTCTTTGGCGGATCCAGCTGGAGCATAGACTGCTCAGAGTACTCCGTACAGTACAACTGCACATCTTGTCCCGGTCGCACAACCATCTCCCGACCAAGCCCGCAATATCGTCATGGCCGAGGAAAGAAAAAAATTTGTAGGCCCACTGTAAAAGGGCGCTAGTGACTAGCGGATGTAGACCGCCGCAGTAGCTAATCATGGGCCAATAGGGAGGCGCCGCGCAGGGGTTCTCCACTCCACCTGTCAACTGATCACCTGCGAGTGCCAGGATGGGGCGGCATGGCCAAAACAATAGGGACTGTATCGGAGAGAGTCAAACACTTCCAAAGACTTCGTTATCTCCAAAATTGGGATGAAGTATGGAGGATGGAGTTGCAAACGTGGTTCCGGTTCAGGTTCAGGTTCAGGGACCAACGGTTCGGAGCCATAAAGTTTCAATGGCCCAGCCTGTTCAAGCGAGTCAGTCCCATGGATCCTAGCCGGGTTGATTGGTTGGCATGACATGTTGGAATACTTCGCACAGCCTCAGAAGCGAGTTTCAGATAGAGTCTTCAAGATGGAGGTAGAAACAAGAATTGAGAAGAAGAATCTGCGCGAAATAATTCGCAAGCAATGACATGCACAAAATACTCGAGTGATGTCGAGAAGAAAGTGGCAGCACGGATGCGCAGGTCATGTGACCATGGTTGATGCCCGACAGAGGAGGCATTTCCAGCAGGGGTTGACCGAACAACTGGCAGCGCCAACAATGACTCATTTTCAAATTGATTAGCTGCCCTTATTTTCATGATGAGTTGTCCACGGTGATACTATTGGCCCAGTTTAGTTATCAGCACAAATCATTCGGGTCTAAGGTACCCAACTTGGCTTTTCCAACAGTCCGATGCCACGAGGGCTGCGACTGTTCATCCGAACAGCAGGATCAGAAAGATGATGCCCAGTCTTCGTGATAAAAAATGGTTACAGAAATCTGCCCTTGCATACACTGAACAGCCACCAGCAAGCCTGTCATGCTTTTGGCCAAGTAGACAATGGGATTGTTCATGATGCGTCGACCCACTAAACCGCCTCGCATGCCCAGGCTACGTCTTCATGCCCATCATACAACTTGCATCATATTTACAACCCAGTTATTGAAATTGAAACCATCAGCAGTGATTGGGATAAATAGCAACCTAATTCCGAGTCTCTAACAGTTCTCAATCTGAACAGCCTCTGACTGAGTGCTTCCCGAGCTCTGGATGGCTTTGACCAGAGCATAGTTACTAGACGTCTGAAGTCGAATCTCCGTCTCAAACCCATTGTATCCCGCAGTCGTCGCTTTTTGCAGCTTTTCCTTCTCTGCTCCAAGGTAAATCTCCCAGGTTTGCACGTCGGTCGCTCCATTCCAACTGGCATATACGCGTACTTGTTCAACGCCAGCGCTGGACCTCGCGATGCAAGCTTTCACACTCGGCTTCGTGGTCGGTTTTCCATCCCAGGCTGCACGGAAAGCACGATATGACATCATGATATTGTCGTAGCCAAATCGAGCCCGCATCACCACGCCTCCTGTCTCGTCGTATTCCTCCAACTTGGGGACGGAGCCGTGGCCCAGGAATACATGGCCATTGGTGAGGTTCTGATAGCTGCCCTGGCTACCAGCGGAGACTGGCTCATCCGCATCCCATAGACGGCGATTCAGACTAGCGGTTTTTGTATCGAGATTCAAGTCGACCAGCAGCCCCGTGGTGATTACCGTCCCTTTTGAAAATAGTGCGTTGTCATTATTGTGCATGCGGATGGTAATTGTCTTGTCTGTCTGCGATTCAACCCTTACGTCATGCTGAAAGCAAAACTTTGTATCTTGGGCTAATTGAAAGTCACCGCCAGTTCGCCCCTGTGGAGTCTGTTAGTTGATGAGCGGTTATCAGCGAAGAACGGACTTACATTAAGAGTCCACTTGATATTTCCTTTCAGATCAATCGCATAAATACTGCAATATCCATGCGATGATATTATATACTCGTCTCCATATCTCATGACTGAGTTGAGATGTGCAAAGTCCCAGGGATTGCTCTGGTTGTGGCCGGTTCCATACAGCGGTGTCGCCGAGTCTGTCAGATTCAAATGGTCCAACGCACTCCAACTGAAAAGAACCTTATTGCTTGCAATGTCGATTTCATAAAACTGGCTATCATGAACCCAGCCATTCTTCAGTCCGCCAAGGCCCTGTAGATCGGCAGGTGTCACGTTGTATGCAGTCGCCAACACCGAACCTCGATCTGTGACCGCATCCTCGTGAACATCAATGTAAGAGGGAAATTGAGGCCCGAGAGCAGATTTGAAATTCCATTTATCATCCGATAGCGTGACACGATGGATTTCCTGATATTCTTGGTTCAAGAAATGGATAGATCCATACCCGAAACCCAGCATACTGATTGTGCCGTTCCAGTATGTCAAAACGGATTCGCCGTTCAGCGTCTGAGGTTGAAATCCAGTGATATTGCCCGGTGGACCTTGCCAGACGAGCTCGCCGTCATCTGTATAGATCGCAGGAAACCCATGATGTCTGAGCATATCTGTGGGAGACAGAAAGATGTAACCAGGCTGGGTCTTGCCATTCTTTGTTACGTTCATCCTGGGAGACTGGAGTGGAGAGCTTTTGAAGAGCTCAATAGGCCATTGTTGAGAAGTAGGTGTGGCCGCAGATGCGAGTGCCACTACAGATAAAAACAAAAGAATATGAAAAGACAACTCCTTCATTTTCAGTGATGTTATCGAACTTTTCAGGATTTGGCTGCAGGGAGTAGATGGATAGCTTCAAGAGAGAGGTCGAAGGCCATAAATAATACGGCAACCCCAACGACGGCCGCTCTTTTATGGTCATATTTCCCAAGAATCTCGACAGACATTGTATGTAGGCGTGTTTTCTTTGTTTTCGTCGAACTTAATTTCTCGTCACATTCATTAAAGAACTTGACCCTTCCGTTTTCGGAAATGCTAATTCACGAGTATCGAGTGGGAAGCACGGCATTCTATACGTCAGAATTTCTTAGCTTTGCGACTACATGAAGCTACACCTAAAATCGATCCAATCCTAACATATAGATGGCCAAAGTCTTTTCAAGCAGCCTCTTGCATTGCTAGAATATTCAGCGTAGGCTTGGGTAATCCTGGGGTTGGAATGCGGAGAACTCGGGTTCCCCGCGGCACATTCTTTGTTCGTTCGGACATCACATCCCATGGTTCTCCTTATTCGAGACTTTGAACTTAAGCACCGGGAACTTTAGAACTACGATTCCTCTCTTTGTTGACAGCGAGTTCGCCGTACTTGTGCTCAGCCGCCACAACTAGAACCGTAGCTCTCAAAGACCTTCTAACGGTGATCAACGTTGAAGAGCTTGGTATATAGAGCGTTATTATACTTTCGGGCTACATCAACAAGGTTGTTTGTGTCGGACAAAATAGCCTTATTAAGTAATTTCCCTTTACCCGGTCTATCAGCATTTTCTACAATGTTGAACTTACAGCAACGGAGTAGTAAATCTCAAGCTTGCGTGAAAAGAAGCTTTCTAGACATGGCACGAGCGACTAGCCCTCCAAGAGCAGCCGGCAAATAGCCAAGCCCGAGATAGAAGCTCCCGCCGTCATCATCATCATCATATGCAAGAGGTTCCCCTGCGACTTGAAGCCGCTTTTCCTGTATATCATAGCACAGCGATACAAAGGGCCGCGGTTTCCGTAATATGCTAACATATCTGCCAGCATATTCGCCAAGAAAGCTTTCATAGAGATATTCTTCCGAGGAAACAAAAGCTGCTGTTACTAAACGAGCTAGAGTTAGTACTTGCACTTTGTGATCATAATCGAATCCTGACCCTTATCCTTCGACACTGACTCTCAGACAAATGTCTATCGTCTTCGGTCATTGCAACCTCACTACTCAAGGCTCATGCTATGAATGGCGCCATGATTCTCTTGTAAACTCGTAGGTTTGCAGAATGTCAAGTTCTCCCCAAATAGTACGCACATCACCAGAGACATCGACAGTCCAATCACTATGCCGTGGATAGTATAGCTTACGACATCAAAATAAGATTGAGCGAAACGATACCTCGTGTATGTTCATCTAGCGAGTTGCTCAGGGATTTCCAGTGAAAGTGGCTTATCTCATGATCATAGGAATCCTTACTATACAGAGCGTAGTATCGGTTCATGTTGAGGACTTCACTTTCGGGTGACTTTCGGCTTCGGGTCCAAGAGTAGCTTCACTTCTTGTTCGGAATTCTCATAAGAAGAAATCCACTAGTTTGCTAATCATCAAATCTTCCAGGTTCGAAAGTGTCTTTTATTGGCGTGCCAAAAGGGTAGGTCAATGTCGTCCCTCCCCATCGTAAACATTCCAAGAAATTTGATACCTTTACCGGAGCCTCAAACTTCCAACGACAGCATTCGCGTCTTCCAAGCTTCCTTCGCTTCTCTTCATCTTCAGTCTCTTCATCTTCAGTTTCTTCATCTTCAGTCTCTTCATCTTCCCTTTCTTCCCAATCAGCGCCCCCCTCAGCTCCACCTACACCAGCCTTCCCCTTGACGCTGCGCAGACGCGTCACGCTCCTCGCTCATGGTCAAGCGCGTCCTCTTTCTTCGCAAGTCATCCAAGTTCGTTATCTTCTAACGTAGCCTCGCTGAGGTATTCTGCTGATGACTCTTTTGACTCATATAGATCAAGTTAAAGATGACTTCTGAGGAAGTCGATATCGACCCTGACCAGCTCTTAGAGCTGTTCGAAGTTCTGAAAACAAATGACCCGCAGAAAAAGAGAGCCTTTCCAGATGTCTTCTACACTAGTGGGCACTGGTCCGGTCGAGTTCGACCCAAATACTTCAACCTTGCGCTCATGGCTAATTTCAACTCTGTGCGTTATGTTTCTGACGAAGTTCTCGATGAGCTAATTCCCGAATGGAGAAAATACATGAACGGAAAGTCCTTTCCCTCGAACGCAAAAGCTCACGAGGCCACTTTCCGTGCCTGGTGTATCCGTGAGCGAATGCAGTATGAGGCCAACGGAGTGCCTTTCCCGCAGCCATTACCGACTTCGACCTCGAACAATCGGCGCGCTACGACTACTGCTGCTCCCCCAAGTGCCAGAACATCTCAGGGCGGCACACGGCCTTCCATCACAATGGGACAACAGAGTCAAGCCATGAACGTTAGAAGTATGAATGCTCAAGTCATGAGTGTCACAGCCATGAACCCTCCAGTCAGGACCCTGCCCGCCATGAATCCTACACCCATGAACCCTTCAGCCAGGACCCTTCCACCCATGATCACTCCAATCATGAATCTCTCAGCCACGAACCCGTCAGCCAGAAACCCTGCAGCCATGACCGCTCCAGCCATCAACCCCTCAGCCACGAACCCTCAAGATTTGCAAGCTGTCGCTCTCAGATTAGAGCAACTTGGCAGAAACACCCATCAATACGCCAATCAACTACGCGAATATGGCCAGCGTGAACTCCGTGTCGCCCAACTGTTGCTAGAAGCCAGTTGCATACGTCGGTAGCAACCTCCCAGAGATTAGTCACGCCCTTTTTGTCTTCAAAGACTGGGTCAAGTTTCCTTTCATCGGTATCTCAAAAAGACCTCGATTTATGCAAGCAGAAAGCACATACATTTCAGAGGCAGTCAGCGCGGGATATCCATAGCTCTACTACGACTTGAATAGCATCAATGTGAGATTTCATACAGCCTCATTGTCATCCCATACTCCTTGCAGAATCTTTCATAACTTCTACTCAAGCTTCTTGATCACCAGTAAACCGTAATTCATTGACACAAGGGAGCGTGTTTCATCCAAAAGGCAGAGTAAACATTCATTCAGCATTGATTTTCAGATATTATTTCAAAGATTGAAGGCGTGTACATTGAGTGATTTAGATCCTTGACGGCACCATAGTAATGTGAGCATTTTGTTCTCTAATCAAGCTTATCAGATACATAAATCTTGCGAGGCCTGGTGAAAAAACTCAAATATACCATAGTCTCTATAATGGAGTACCCAGCCCAAAGATTTCAAGCTCGAGGATATCAGTGGGCTTCATTGGTCATCAGAGTCAGACAAGGAATGCTCTCCGGTATTGTTATCAATATCACGATATCCTTCGAAGCAGAGAAGGAACGTGATCCTTTCAGGCGCCATTGTTTGATCTCCTCGCCTTCTTCCTTCCTAACCCAAGGTTCACCCTCTTGCTTTGAAGCTTCGCCTCTTCACGTGAAATACTATGTTCTAGCTCTGTACTTCCATCTTTCCACTTACTCTTCCTCTTCATCCGTCGAGACCGCAATCCTGGGACTGTTAAGACCTTGAACAAGCCTCGGCTGCGGTGGCTTTACGCTCCTAAGACCTAGAACGCATGGCCTCGATGATCGAAAGCTCCACCACAGCCAGTTGGTGAGCGGAACTCATGATTCGTATGCCTGATGCAATTCAAGTTCACTTTGCCTAGATGTGAAATAAAACCATTGCATTAACGAACTACGAACACAGTATCCTGTGATTTTTAATGAGTTCGAATACCATATATATGATTCCCTTCCTTGAGTCACAGCCATGGTTATGCGGGCAGCTGCCAAAGAAACTCCAAATCCATGTCAACACCGTCCAGCCTAGCCCAACTATCCGTTGCATTCGCCCCGAACGGAACCATGGATGGCTCGAAGGGTAAAGATAGCCAGTCATTAACATCAAAGTCAAGGGGACCTTCTGGATCAAAGCCAGACAAGTTCGAATATACTCCCTGGTCATTGCTGAGAGTCTGGGTTACAGACGAGTACATGTCTAGCGTTTGTGAAGGCTTTTGAAGAAGACCGGAATCGACATTGGGGGCTTCAATCACAGGAATTGATGACATCAGACTTCTCCGTAGCCGAGTAGCCTGTGTATTGAGCAGCGCAGCATATCGTAACTTCATGTGGTTGTCGTCCTCATTGTTATCTTGCAAGGATTCTATAGCTCTATCGAGAATCTGCAAGGCTTCCTGCAACTTGCTGTTCCGTACACCCAAAGCAAGGGCTTTCATCAGGAATATGGAAGCGCTGATTGTTCGGAAGAGCAACCTCATGGGGGAAAAGTATAGGGAGCCGGCTTTGCCGAGAGCAGCGACCTGTTCGAGTGTTTGGCAGCAACCATCGATTACTTCCTGGATAAAACCATACTCCCGAGCAGTCATGTTGAGCTGTCGTGCTCTTTCTATGAAGGAATAATCGATTGTGGACTCGGCATATGTTGTCTTTGATAAAACTCGCCGCACGACGACCTGCATTCCGATAGAGTTGATGAGTACCCGGAGATGTTGATGCTCGATGAACATTATATCAGTGAAAGACGACCCAGGGACTGTTTCAGTTAGTGAGGAATCAATTAGCGATAATTGATAGAGAGATCCATACCAGCGATGCTCAGGTTTCGTTGCCGCCAGTTTTCCAACAGGTTCTGCTTTTGTTCCAAGATGGAGAAAAATGCATCCGCCGTTCCAGTTGCCAGAGATGTACTCATCAAGGGAAACAGCGTTTGCATAATGGATGAGGTAATTTTGCTTAGCTCTCTCCATGACTTCATGAAAACCAGCCATTCATTGCCCCTTTTGTCTAGTCGAAGCAATCCCGGGTCAGGCATCATGAGGCCAACGTCCGAAGGCATCGGTGACGTGCATCCTAGCCTGGAAGATAACGCGTTTATGAATACGAAAAGAAGGCTTGGAAGGCGTTGACGACGCAGTTCGAGATGTTGAAGGTACATCTCAGCATCAAAGCCAACTAGGTCGCCGAGCTTTAACATCCGAGCATTAGGATCAAAGGCACCTAGTTCATGGGCCAGGGCCAAAGCAAGACTCAAAACCATCCATGACATGTGTTCAAAACGTTTTGTGGGCTCCACGACATCTTGTTTCCAGGTGTCAGAGACAGGTATTTCTTCAACTGGCAAGGGAGGATCGCGTGCATCCAAATTCGTCATGATAAAATCAGAGTCCCAGCCGTCCGTCTCGGGCGGAAACTGCAGTTGTCGAGGGAACCATTCAGACATTAATAGCAAAGCCTCAATGCTCCCTATATTCCGAGTCTTCGCTTTGGATATCTTTTCTTGGCCGAGTGTCAGCCGCATCAAAAGATGTTGACAATGCTGCCACATGCGCTGATGAATGAAGAATGCGCGAGAACGACCGCCAACCCCGGGCAAAATATGATGCCGAGAGGATATCATGAGGATTGTACAGCATAACATCGGCTCCTGTGTCACTAAATAAAACTGGTTTTTATGTGAGGCGAAGAAGTCCGTGAGGACCGGAGAAAGCGAGCTCATGTTTGCGAAAAACCTGTTATGGTAAGAATTCAGTACACCTACACATGTGTGTGAACTGACTTGTCAACTAATGTAATAGCTTCATGCGAAGAGAACCAGCCCATTTTCACAAAGCGGCACGCATTCCAAATGCGGAGTGCGTCAGTCTCGTTTAAGCTTCGAGGAATACTCAATGCCGAATCGGCTGGGGGCATTTCGTTGATGACACGGTTATTTCCTTCGAGAAGTGCTGCTTCATAGAGAATATTCATGGCGTCATTGTTGCTTGAGACAACTTTCTGCAGTATTGATGTTGGAAGCCCGCCGTGTTCGGTCTCGGCTTGTTGCGAAGCGCCTTGGGACCTAGAGAACTGTGTAAGCAGACAGATCTTGAATACGGGAAACAAGCAGCAAACCTCTCTTGAACGCTCTCATTGCTAATAGAAAGCTCACTTGACACGTTTCTTGAATTCTTCGCTTCCCGCGACCAAGGTTTCTTCGTTGAAAAGGTGCAGTCGAGCCGCTTCTTGCTGCATCGGGCACATTTGCTGCCATCGACAAGTTGACATTTCACTTTCCGCCTTGCGCACGGGATACATGCTTTGTAAACCCTCTGGAACTCATGCTGCCGAAGCTCTCGACTTCTGGGAGGCCTTTTGCTCTCTGCCATTTCGAGTTGGCGAGTATGCGAGTTGCAAGAACGCGGGTATTCGGAAGCGGGGATGCGGGTTTTGCGTTTCCAAAATATCCGCAGTCGGCTTTCTTCCGGAGCAGTCAGGTCAGCCACTCGGCGGTATAGTACAGATTTTATCCAAATGAGCCTAGTCAAGAGTTGTTTTGGGGATAGTATAAATCGTCGGGCGGCAAGCATCCTACAAGCTTGACATGATGACGCACGATCGTCATCGGCCATTCTATTCTACGGCAGCGGATAGTTCTCCTCCTTTCCAATATAGTGGACCGTCAGGGTCAACGAATGCCGCCATTTTACCTTTCCACTCATGTTACTAGGATTGTGGTCCTAAAGAACGAAAAATTCATCTTCACGTTCATTATACGCTTGAGTGGATCTCCGAAGTTGGATTTGAATTAGTCAGCTGGTGCTTATTCCGAAGAAGACAAACGATTTCGTGCATTCGCAGTTCAAATTGACAGACATAAGTTCTCAGAACATGATTTCCCAGTCTTTTTGATGAATGATGCTATACTGTGACTTGTCAGACTTCAAGTCAGATAACGGAAGGCAGGGTTCTGGTCTCCACCATCAGTAACATCAACTCGGTTATGCTCGCTGACTTGTCCATATAATCGATCCCGTTTGCGATTTTCCAGAGTCAACGAGATATGAAGTCCCATAGCTAGGATAGCAATTATGCCGGTGAAAACACAACCGAGGGCACATCCTGTCGTATAGAAGGGCGCATCCTTGTTTGGAAAGACGGAGCTGCTGATCAAACTCGAACACTGTCCAAAGATGGCGAGCATGGCCATTCCTGCACCTTTCTTGCTCTCCCCTCCCTGGTTGTTCAATAGCCATGTAATGTTGATTGACAAGGCTGGGAAAATCCCACATGTTGCAAGCCAGATCCCCGTATACCGTGCCCCAGTCTTTGATTCATCCGTGACACAGGTCAGTATTATGTATCCAATTGTGCCTAGGACGGCGAAGAACGTAATCACATAGCCTCGGTTACCCCAGCGATCAGATACTATCGCGGCAACGATACAACATAGAAAAGAGGCGAAGTAAGCGGGTGCCGAGAGGCCTTGAGCGTTGACAGAAGTGTACCCCATAGTCTCAATAATTGTTGGCAGGAAGTTCGACAGGGCTGAAAAGGAAAAGTTGCAGCAGAAATGAATCGTCATGTGGACGTAGTTTTTGTAATCTTTCAAGCCGCTAGTCACTTGCTTCCATTGCAATTTGTTCTTGGCTGTCCGATCAATCGTTTGCAAACGCTCCACAGCCTCGATCTGCTCAGTCTCATTCAGGAATTTCGCACTTCCCGGAGAATCGGGGAGATACAAGAAGACAACAGCGGCAAACAAGACCGTTGGTGCACCCTCTGAGAAGAGTTAGTACTAGACTGAGCGCAAGTAGAAAGAAATACTCGCCTATGATGAACAGGTACCGCCATGGTTCAAGAGAGCCCTTGATCTGAGTGATACCGTATGCCAGAGCGGAGGCAAAGCAATTTGCGACAGGAGACATCCCTAGAAGCAGCGAAACTCTGAAGCCAAGCTCCCTCCTCTGGTAAAACAGCGAGAGGAAATAAGGTGCTCCACTGCTGAAGATGGATTCAAAGATGCCCAACAGACATCTACAAGCAAGAAGCTGCGTGAAATTGTTGACAGCACCCGTGCACATGGCCGCTGCACCCCAGCTGCATCTCATAGCTCAGCAACTGATTGCGCTCGCACACTGAATCTCTTTGCACTTACCAAATACACAGCAGCGCAACGTAGAGGTGTGCAGGGAAGATTTTCCAAAGGATCGTAGTCCATTCAAAAACAATATAGCAGATATAGAATGAGTACAAGACCCAGGACCATTGATAATTACTCAAGCGAAGGTCTTTTTCGAGACCAGCCGCCTTTGCGTTGCCAATGTTGCCTGGTTTAAATTGGGTGATTAGCATGGCATAACATTGTTGGTGGCGCAGCTACACTTACTCCTGTCCAGGTAAGACAAAACGTAGAGTGTACAGACAATCGGGAGGACCCTGCGATCGAACTAGAAGGAATTATTATACAACTTCCAGTATAAAGATCTTAGATGCCAACCTTCTTTCTTATAAAGGACTGTCGTGCCTCGGGAACATTGACATGAAGCTCTGGTTTGGTAGCAACATCACCTTCAAAATGATGACTGCTGGGAAGCTGCTCCACATCCATAGGCTTTGACATGGTGGCCTACTCAAAGATGAAGCCAGAATTTGCGTAAAGGCGGTAGTATTGGTCAGTCAAAAATGCTCCTATGATGCAACATAAATGAGAAGGGGAATGTTGTCTGTACAAATAGTCTCCCAAATAGAGTTTGCCCTAGATGAAAGCCCAGTCACCGATGATCGAGCACAATAAACCTGGGGCCCCGTGGGGTGTCAAGGTTCCCCGTGGGTCCTACAGATACCGACATCCCCGCAGCGGCACATCCGCAATTTCCAAAATTGCCCAAATATCAACTTGTTGATAGGCCACGCGGCTCCTTTTGCTTTTCGGCCGGTTCTTGGGCCTTCGGGGTGGCGTGGGGAATTCCCGCATCGGCTGTTGCCAATTATCCGCGATTGAATACCCGCGAGCGGAGATGCACAGCTTTGGTCAATTCCAGACGACTCGAAGCCGATACCGCAGATGAGTTCATATTATAAAAGGTGATGGAGCTGCTGAATGTAAAAAGATTGAACCAAGCACTCAAATCAGTCTGATCATTCATCGAAAATGTCGGCGAGCACCGTTCCCTATCCCTTCCACTTCGACACCACTGCCACTAGCGGGCCTCAGGATGGAACCACCACCAATGTCAGTATCAGCATCAAGAATGTGCGCGGGAAGATACCTTCTCTGCAAGCAGCACGTCTGCGCACAATGATGCTCGAAGCTCGCAATGATCCTACCAAGATTCTTGCCCATGCCTGCACTTATGACGGCCTGTCCTCGCGCCTTGTGGAGGAAGCCGGTTTTCCGATGGTCTTTCTTGCGGGTTATGCCGTGGCTAGCTCCTACGGTCTGCCCGACACTGGTTACATCGCTATGGCAGAGATGTGTGACAAAATTCAGGAGGCTGTTCGTCAAGTCTCGGTGCCTGTCATGGCTGATGGAGACACTGGTTACGGAAGTCCGATGAATGTGAAGAGAACTGTTGAGAGTTTTGCAGCTGCAGGTGCAGCTGGTATTATGATCGAAGATCAGTGCTGGCCAAAGAGTAAGTTTTCCGGCCCAGGAGTTCACAATGTTGCTAAGCTTCAAATCAATCACTGACTGACTTTGATAGGATGCGGACACACTAAGGGCAAGGACGTCGTTTCTCGAGAAGAGGCCTACGCCCGTATCCAGGCTGCCGTCGACGCTCGCAATGAAGGAAGAGATATCTTCATTCTTGCTCGGACTGATGCGCTGATGTACGGCTGGGAGGAAGCTATAGCCCGAGCCAAGGAATTTATGCGTATCGGCGTAGATGCCATCTTTGTCGAGGCTCTACCTGATCAAGAGGCGATGAAGCGCTGTGCCGAGGAAATTAGCTGCCCAGTCTTTGCCAATATCATTGAAGGTGGCAAAACCGAGAATATTTCCGCGAAAGAACTTGCTGAGCTCGGGTACAGTGCTGTTGCATACCCCTGGACATTGGTTGCTGCTCACCTGAAGAGCGTTCGGGAGGCCTTGGACGGATTGAAGAGAAGTTTGATTCTCGGGGCACCCCCGATGATCCTTACCTACGACGAGGTCTGCGAGGGTGTTGGTTTCAACAAGTATTGGGTATGTATACCTGAACTGCCCTTATCAAGTACTTCGATGCGAATGCTAATACATGTGATGCAGGACCGAGAGGAGAAGTATAGGTTTAACTAAATCCAGACTAGTAGAGAAGTTATCACAGAGGTTATAGAAACATGTTCTTCCTATTCATTTGATTATTCTTGCAACGGTAGCTGTTTAAATGACTCGAATATACTTGTTCTCACAGACCAAACCAGGAACGAAGTCGAGAGAAATCGGTGGCGACTCATGATGGGTGTACTTATCTGGGAAATGAAAAATAGTTACCGCTCAATCTATTCCATACGGCGTAGTCTAGATCCGATGAGTAGAACAACGTCAACTTAGGCAGCTTCGGCATTTCCATGGTTGTTGCTGTATTGCCTAGTCGGATCCACGGTCGGGTGCTCCCTTTAGCTCGTAGTCGTCATATTCATTCAACCGATATCTAAACAGCTTTCGGAAATGAACTTTCCCACTTTTGAATTCTCTCTTCAGCTTTTCCTCCTTAAGAACTTTTCCTCTGACAACATTCCCTGCATCGAGCTTGTGTTATCAACTTTAAGTTCTTCGTCAAAGGTTACAGCCCACTAGCCCGCCATTAACGAAGCAACATAGCCTACTCCAAAAAGATCGAAAAGATGGTCTCTACGACTCGCAGTCAGCATTTTGCTCGGCGTCGCACCTTACGGAGCCGGCAAAACTGGAAGCCATTTGTCTCCCCACCAGTTACGTCGCGTAAACACACTCCCCTGAAGCCTCACATGATGCATCCGTTGCGTCAGAATCATACCCCCATCGAGGTAGCCAGTCGACTGCCCTTCGAGATTCTAGAGAAGATTCTTCTCGATGTCGATGCAAATACCATTCTGGTCCAGTGCCAGCGGGTTTGCAAAACATGGAACAAGACCATATCCCACTCGGAAGCTATTCAGCAGACGCTTGGCTTCCAGCCGCCGTCCAGGTCAGAAGTTGCTCAGATCAACCCATTCAGAGACATCATTCACCGTTGTGTTCATGTTGATTGGCATAAAGAAAGAGGAGGGAGTTGCGAATGCTGGTCTATCAACACTAGCAAAGATTACGAGGACGTCTTTGCACGAGTCGAGGCGAGTTGGCGGAGAATGTTGCTCGGGTGAACGCGTTAAATTCCATTTGAAGATGCAACTACGAAGAAAGTTTGCTAAGCAGTCATTCCAATTGTTGGTTTGATAACTAATGTTCTTTTGATTTGTCGCTCGGCTGCAGCTTTCCGGAATGGATTGCCCCCCACATGGTCCAAATTAAGCTTACGCCCTTCGGATGACATGGAAGTGACTGGAAAAGATTGCAGCACCTTTCTATTATTATAATCGCCCGATTCTTCGGTAGATAGTAGCTAGAATTTAATTAGCAGCAAATCAAGCTCTCATTTTTCAAAATCGATTAATCGCGCTATCAGGTGCAATGGGTAGCACTGGTCAAACCCCCGGTTGCCAATTCGTCCTCCGTACCCATCGACCCGGTGATATAGGATGGATCATCCACAAACACGGCATCCTTTATAACCAAGAATACGGCTGGGATGAGCGCTTCGAAGCTCTTGTCGCCACCATCGCTGCGGACTTTATCAACCAATATGACCCCAAATCAGAGCGTTGCTGGATTGCAGAAAAAGAAGGCAACCCGCTCGGCTGCATCATGCTCGTCAAAGACCGATCGAGCCAGCATACAGCCAAACTTCGCCTGTTACTGGTGGAGCCGAGTGCCCGTGGTCTTGGTGTTGCTCGCGCTCTCGTGAGACAGTGCAAAGCATTCGCTGATGAGGTTGGTTATGAGCGAATCTTGTTGTGGACAAACCAAGTGTTGGAACCTGCGCGTCGACTCTATGCATGCGAGGGTTATCGATGTGTTCAGAAGGAGGAGCATGAAGATTTTGGGGTAAAACTTATGGGAGAGTCTTGGGAGTTGAGTTTACAGGCGCCAGCGACGAAGAAATGATTTTGGCTACGGCTCGTCAGTTCCGTCCTTGACATTGGGAAATGATACCCACGATAATTCACTTGCAGAATGCAATTCTCAGTTTTGTGCCATTTCTCTGTTTTCATGCCACTTTCTAGCCTTGTGAGGCTAGCTAGATACTTAAGTGCAGCCCGAGTCGCATGGTTGGGAGTATTGTATCCGGGGCTGCGATATCCTCATTTCGCGTGTAATGACGGAGGATGCAGTGAATGACACAGTTTTCAGACCTGTAAAGTCTGAAACTGAACGAACTCCCTTTGGACTGCCCGGCACGTTGCTGGTGAATGCCAGCATTGAGCCACCGCGATGCGTTGAGGATCCGGCCTACTGCTTCCTGGCTCCTGGAGCCCGCCTGGCGTTAGTTCAACAAACCCCTCAAGGTAGGACCCAGCACCCATACTTTCATGGCTCCAATGGCAGTACTGGTAAGCACGAAACCTGGTTCTCAGAGACAAAATTGACTCGACTTCGACTGCCAATTCCAGGCGGTACCTGTATGTATATCATCGAGCCACACACGCTCAGTCACGAAGACCTTGCGATCGTCACACAGATCTTAAAACAAGCCATGAGTTTGTCCAGAGTAGCGAGAGTCACCTAGACAACGGCGCGCAGAATCATTCTGCAGAAGCGAAGAATGCTTCCTTATCACCAACCGCGTTGAAGGGGCCGCGAATCATCTCCTAGTGGAAAGCCACGGAGACACGCTAGTGCCAGTATGTCCTCCCATTTGATTTACAGATACTCCCAGCCGGCTAGTTAGAACTCCCATAACTAGGTAATCAAATTCCGGTCCGCCGCTCACTTACTCCCCTAACGCTACCTGCATCATCGCTGGCGGCCCTGGGGGTCTAGGAGACTCTCTTGCCCGTTGGATGTGCCATCGAGGCGCCCGGCATATTGTCATTTTATCTCGGCAGCGGATACCAAGCTGGGTGTGGCAAAGTTGAGAAGAGATCTAGCCTTGAAGGGAGTAGAGGTAGTGGCGTTTCCCTGCGATATAACCGACATTCAGCACGTACAAGTAGCCATGTCGCAAGTTGGCAAAACCAGCCCTCCAGTGCGTGGAATCATACAGGCCGCTATGGTCTTGGAGTTATTGCTCTAGCCCAGTCTTGCCAGTCGGCGCCTGCCCACTTTACTAAAGCTCTTAGGACTCCGTTTTTGACAATATAAGTTATGGGGCCTGGAACCGCGCGATCCAGCCCAAGGTCATGGGGAGCTAGAATCTGCATACCCACGGCCTAGAGGACGTCGACTTCTTCATCCTCTTATTGTCCTTTGTCGGCACGGTCGGTTTACGCGGGCAGGCCAATTATGCCGCAGGTAAGTCTAGCCAAGGTTCCTGGGGGAGCACGTAGGTATGAGCTCTAAGGATCAAACAATTCCGCTACTGCGTCTGTGTGGTTGGACTCTTTCTCATAAAGCAAGGGGGTGTTGCCTAATCGTACCCTGATCATACCCCGCTGTTGCAATATATATGTGTAGGGCAAACCCAACAATTCCTCCACTTCTGGTGAGCCTATGCTGTCCCGCTCTCACAGCAACGCAGTAAGTATCATGTCTCCATCGTTCAGACCAATCCTGACCAACGCAAACAGACCATGAGCACCACGCGCCACAGGCTCCTTGCCACCGCATCGCGGTTTGTCGAGACACTCGAGAGCTTAGACATGGACGCAATGCTCGCTGTACGATCTTCAACATGCCTCCATCATATGTGCTGCCCCAGCTTCAGAAACTACAGCATAACGAATGATCAGACTCGCGAAGCGCTTCCCCAGTGGAAAGCTACGATTAAAAAGTACAAATTTGGTGTCCTGGATGACAGCCAAACTCTGGTGGACGAGCAAGCGAGAAAGGTCATGATTCGCGCCGAAACCGCCGCGGAGACAACGGTCGGTGACTATAACAATGAATATGTGTTTATTCTTCGAATGACGGAGGATTGCAATGCGGTGGATGAAATCTGGGAGTTTTATGATACCATTCGTCTACGGGACCTTCGTCACAGGCTGGAGGCCGGCCATGTGCCAATCGGCGTTGATGCTCCTGCTCCCTTTACCACCACTGCCTCACCTGCAGCCCTGTAACAGCCTGTATGGCTCGGTGGAGCTCTTATTAGTGTATCCAATTATGGCCAGTCAACGAAAATACAGCGCTGCAAGGAGACAATCGTCCCTTACATGTTCAAACCACCAGAGAAAACAACGATCAGTACACACGTCACACGTCACACATCAAGCTAGAAAACAGAATAATCAAATAAAAAAAAGCGACAATATGAACCCATCCCAAGATGCCCAAACCACACGCCCATCGCCGAGAAAATCCCCCTCTCTAGGACACTCACTTTACCCACCTTGACTACCAGGGTATTCCTAGCCATTGCCTTTTTTCCTGCTCGATCTTCTGCCAACTTCGTACTCTTGACTTCACTGCTATTATCTTTATGCCATGACAGGTACACGAATCCTCGAGCTGTTCGGCCCAGCGCCAGAACCCCCCTCCGAGTTAGGCCGCTACCGAATTCTTTCACCCACAGCGGGCATACGTGTTTCTCCCCTCCAGCTCGGTGCACTATCTATCGGAGACGCATGGAGCACCGATCTTGGCTCAATGGATAAAGACTCGGCCATGGAGTTACTAGATGCCTACGCCGCTTCGGGGGGGAACTTCATTGACACAGCAAACGGGTACCAGAATGAACAGTCGGAAACGTGGATAGGAGAATGGATGGCCAGCCGCACCAACCGGGACCAGATGGTGATTGCCACCAAATTCGGGCCCGACTATCGTGCCCATGAACTGGGCAAGGGGCTCCCTGTGAACTATTCGGGGAACCACAAGCGCAGCCTACACATGAGCGTTCGTGACTCCCTGCGAAAATTGCAAACAAGCTGGATTGATATCCTCTACCTGCACACGTGGGACTATACCACCTCTATCCCGGAGCTCATGGATTCACTACATCATCTTGTGCAGCGCGGAGAGGTTCTCTACCTGGGAATTTGCAATACACCAGCTTGGGTTGTTAGTGCAGCAAACACTTATGCCCAGCAGCAGGGGAAGACCCAGTTCTCTGTCTACCAGGGTCGTTGGAATCCTCTGCGGCGAGAGATCGAGCGTGATATTCTACCAATGGCCCGGCACTTTGGGATGGCCGTGACGGTGTATGACGCCCTTGGCAGTGGCAAGTTTCAATCACGGGATATGCTCGCACGCCGCAAGGACCAGGGAGAAGGGCTGCGAGCGATATATGGTGGGGAGCAGACAGCGCTGGAGGAGGCAATGAGTAAGGCGCTGGGGGTTGTCGCCGCACAGCATGGGACTGAATCAGTCACAGCCGTTGCCCTGGCGTACTTGCTGGCAAAGGCCCCATATGTCTTTCCAATTATCGGCGGACGCAAGATCCAGCACTTGCATGACAACATCCAGGCGCTCTCACTCCGGCTCAGCCAGGAGGAGATCAAATATTTAGAAAGCGTGGGAGATTTTGACCCAGGTTTTCCGTATGATATGGCTGGGGTCGATCCAGCTGATACTGGGATAGCTACTCCGATTGTGGCTCAGGCAGCACCGATGGCGTTTGTCCAGAGATCCAAGGCTATAGGGTACGCTGAATCTAACAAGGGGAGTCAGACGTCTGGCTGAGTTAGAGTAGCTTGCAATGGAATATCAATGTGATGGCAACACAATCCAGGAACCAAGTTACACAGCATGTGATATGAATGAATGCGGTTCGTCTCCATACACATCATAAAGACCTATATGTTGCAGCAGTATCACCGTAAGACCCATAATATGAATGGCACCAGCGGTAGTCAGTTGCTATCTTTACCCCACGCGGCTGTCTTTGCGCAAGGGGCCGACGGATTCATGACTGCGAGGCTGACCGAGTGATGCATGTGCTTACAGTACGGAAACGGGAGAAACAAGACTCGAGTCTGAAATTATACAAGGATTCGCTGTCGATCTGCACAAAGGGGAGCTGGAATCTGATCTCTGACATTCAAAAACTTAGGAATACACATCACATAGTTTCTGTCATAAAGATGACAATACAATGCGGAGTCAGGAAAAAGAAAAGGTTCGGGCCGGTCAGAAACCATCCCCCTGAAGCCATCACATCACATCCGGAAACCTCCTTACAGATGAATTATGATTGTCGTGAGGTTGTTATTGCTACCTGATTAGAGATTGGTGCACAAACAAATTGATTCGACAGCCGCGGAGTACAACGCATGAAGTAAAAAAAGGCTTGCATGAAGCCAGAGATGCTTAATGGCCTTTTCCCTGATCCCGCTCGCGCAGAAGATGGCTGGCTGGAGGACTGTTGACCGGTAGAGCCCAATACGGTTGGGTTAAATACACACCGGTTGGTCTGCTTGCAGGATGGACTGAAGTTGAAGGCAGCAGAGCCGCTACAAGGGCAGGAGGGTCAAGGAGTAAAGCATCGCAGCTGGGGCCCACTGGCTGTTAGCATGATTATCTAGTAACACTATCCAACAAATTTCCACCCTTCAGTATTGTTTTGTTTGGCTTTCACAGATCCAAAATTAATAAGATAACCTGGAAGTCAATCGCCCGAGTACAGTCTGTCCGGTTTTTTCCAATATCAGTAGCACTGCACTGAACCCTGCTATGTAGAAGAGTCTGTTTGCCTTTACGCGAGCATGTCCTCACCATCTAGGCGACATATGGGAGTCTCCGGATCCGAAGCCACGCCGTATTGCAGCCTTCCAGGTAAGGGCATTCTCAGGCCCTTTAATATCCTTGACCGACTTCGGCCCCTTACCGACACGCATGTCATATAAGTGCCCATCCAGCAGTACTACAGCCTAACAACCATACTCGCAGCTCGTCCACCTCTCACGTACACCCTTTAGATACACTACACCATGCTTCATGAAACTATTAGTCTCGCCCTGCTGGGCCAGCCTTTGGTCCCTGGTCTCATGGTAGTCTCCGCTATTCTATATTTGCTCTACAGCACCCAGCAATGGCGTCCTAAAAATCTCCCCCTTTTGAACGATGCGGGGCCATTTGACTTTCTCCAGGCGACAGCAGTGAAGCGCTTTCGTCGCGATGCCCGGCAGCTCATAAAATCTGGCTTTGATTCTGTAAGTTTCCACGCAGAAATTGAAGAATGAAACAGCGTCATATGCTCATCCAGTGGCACTAGTACAATAATGTCTTCGCGATGCGTACGGATGTCGGAGTCGAATTGTTTGCGTCTCCTGAATATGCGGACCAGTTCCGCAATCACCCTTCGCTGAAGGTATTCCCGTTCACTGCAAAGGTAGGTAGTCAATGGAACACCCGCTTGTGGTAAGAAATCGGATTTCTGATCTCTCTCGGTCAGATGCATCACGGTCATCTTCCGGGTTTTGAGCTATGCCGGTCACAGCCGGTTGAAGATCGCATTTTGATAGAGTCTGTGCGAACACAACTCGCGCAGTCGCTTGGTAAGAGCAATTACAATACGTGAAGCCCAATCACACTTACAAGCTTATCCAGGCAAAATGATCCAGCCGCTTGCATCAGATATCGGTCAAGCAATCAGCGATAGGTGGCCTAGTGAATCAGGTAAACCATGACTTCCGTCAACATGCGCGAAATGGTGGCTGAACTTTCTGTCTAATAATCCCAGGTTGGCAGGAAATAGCTCTTGGGTCAGTGATCGAGCGTACCATAGCCCAGGGTACATCTTCTGTGTACTGCCTGGACGAGGCGTGGCCCGAATTTGTGGTAAAGATGGAAATGGCGCTGGGTATGGCGTCGGCGGCACTCTCCGCGTGGCCTGTGATGCTACGACGAGTTGTAGCCAAGTTTCTGCCTGAGTGCCTGGAGCTCTACCGCATCATGGACGCTGGCCGAGAGCTCATGAGCCGTGACATGCGCAGGAGAGTGGCTCTGCAGGCATCAACAGGCGAAGCACCTCTGAACTTCTTTGAATGGTTCAAAGAAGCCTCGCACGGGGAAGAATATGACGAGCTCATACTTAATCTGCGGATTGCCTTTGCATCCATGCATGGCCTCTGTGACCATCTTGTTAAGATCCTCCTGCGCCTTTCCGAGGATCCTCAGCTCGTCGACGACCTTCGTAAAGAGGTCATCCAAGTCTACAAGACTCATGGGTGGAGCAAAACGGCGCTGTACCACTTGAAACTCATGGACAGTACGTTTAAGGAAGTCCAACGGGTGGATCCAATCCTGTTTGGTATGCCAGATCCCTTGTCCTTGTTCAAACACACACTAACTATAAAACAGCAGTTGGCAGGCTCGCCGTCGCCGACGTAGCATTGAAAGACGGCCTCATCATTCCGAAAGGCCAGTCTATCCGGATATCCGGACACACAATGTGGGATGAGGACAAGTATCCCGACGCCGCGCACTTTGACGCGTATCGGTTCTACAAACTCCGACAGGCTCCAGGGCAGGAGAACACAGCACAGTTTACGTCACCTACCTCCGACCACCTGGGATTCGGCTATGGAGGCCGTGCCTGTCCAGGACGGTTCTTCGCCGCAGCGGTGCTGAAGATATCTCTTTGCCACGTGTTGATGAAGTACGATATCAAACCGGCCAATGGGGAGACTGGGCCACATGTGTGGGAGTTTGCGGCAGCAATCAACGCAAACATGACCGCAAATGTGCTAGTAAGACGGCGAGAGCCCGAGATTCGGCTCTAATTGCCGGCCTTTGAGAATGGGAAATTGATCTCAGAGTTACAGCAAGAGGCTTGGTTTTTATTGGAGGTTTTTTTACACCTAGAATATAGGGACCTGTGAAATCGACGCCCAAAATGACAACCTCTGGTGCCAGAAACGGCCGCCTTTCCACCCGTAACTTTGGACAGCGAGCCCTAGATCGCCCTCGACGTACTCGTTCTAAGCCCATTTATCAACAAACATTAGCCTCCGTATCCGAGTTCACTTTATAGCGCCTGTGTCCGTACCTCCCGCTTAAGTTAATGAGCATTAGTTCCGGACCGATCCTATCCTTTGGGAGGAAACTCGGGCCAAACTGAATCATTTCCGCAGTCTTAGATGGTGTAGGAATATACTCTATAAGTCAGGGTAGAGGTCTGTCAGTCAGGTAGGAGAAAGGAACCAAGTCTGTAGTGTTGAACGGTCAAAGACTATTTTTTGAGGTTCCGAAACCTCTTCAACATAGATCAATATATATACAGTCTCGTCGTTCAAAACAGCAAGGAGATCTATCCTGGAGGGTGATAATGGGAGCGGGGTAAAGACAAGGCTTGTGTAACCTCTACCCAAGGATCCAATCTAGGGCTACATACGACCTAAGGTCGTGAAAAGCCTGAGGAATAGATAAATAAATAGATAAATACACAATCAAAAGTGGCCTGAGCTGTAGACGCGACGAGTTACATCTACGTCGCTTTTTTCCCAGTGTTGACATGTGTGTCGCTGCATCGGCCGTCATATTCACCATGCCCTGATATGACGTCCGAATATCAGGGGAATACTATATACTCATGAGCCGGCGTACTACAACCAGGCTTGAGGATTAAAATACCAATATTGCTTCACAGCACCAGGCGGCAGCCTTCTAGCAGTAGAATCTTTTCTTCTCATGTGTACTCCTCCATCAGTGGGTATTAATCTACTCTTTCACCTGCATGCAGGTCAATTGTCGGTCAGATATTGCCAATTGATAGATACTTACCTCTGCGGTGTCTGATTATTTATGTCGAATCCGAATTGCCACATCATTCATCCCTTCTTTCTACGTATGTTGGACTGGAGATTTCCATGTGATGGACGATAAGAGTCAGGACGATGCCATTTCCAGCGTACTTGCTAAAGCCGACAGAAGGATTTGTCACGCTGATCGGCAATATGCATGCTCATTTGCATCTCGAGGAAGGGCCCAGGCACCATAGCTATGCCACCGGTCATCGACTGTAATGCATTGCCAATGGTTGAAACCATCCTAGCCCAGATCCCTCTAGAGAATCCCATTTTGTGTTGCACAACATCTCCGGCCTGCTATATTAGATTCCTTCTTAACCCCATCCACTCTAGGTTCATCCTCCTACACTATTCTGAGTTCTATTGATTCCTCAAGGGTTCATCGTCATCTTCCTATCTCTTGTTGTCTACAATACTTAACGCGAAAATGGCCGCTGACCCTGAAGGCATTGCGTGGTTCAATCGCTCCTCTCTCAAATGCGAGGGCTATGACGCGTCGAACCAATTGGATTTCTGAAATTATCTACTGATCGACGTGATCATCAACAGCCAACCATCGTATGATGCCCATGATGGAAAAATCCTGGAGAAGCATCCTCGATCAGCAAGTCAAAACGTGGGATCCCGCAAAGTGGAATCGTGGGAACTGCTGTCTTATGGAAATGCAGCATCAGCATGGCTTATGGAGTATGTTTGTAGCGCAACAGATTTTACAATCAATTCTTTGAGGTTTGACTGACTGACTGTTGTTAAGAGCAAAACATAAACTGGACCCCAGGTATCGATGGACGAACATGGCTGTGATGTACGGCAAGGATCCCCAAAAACTGGACAAAAGCTTCAAGCTGTGCGGTGTCGCCGATATCGATTTCACAAAATCCGCCATTGCAGGGCTTGTCGCTGTCCCCATGCCCACCAAGGAGCAGAAGTATCTGTGGCTTGATCTGACCTACCCTGTTCGAGGAATCTATTTGCCGGTATCCCCCAAGGGGGAAGGTCCCTTGGGCGATATGTGTAAGTTCCTGCGTCTGGACTTCAAAGGACGCGGCTTCGCCTTGCCGTATGGCCGGCCTTACGAGGACAGCCTCGTGAAAGGATGGGCCGACCCCAAGAGCAAGGTCCGCGAATTACTCAGAGCAGAACTTTCTAGTCCGCTCAAGGTTTTGCAAACGGAGACAATGGGTCTGTTCAAAGCACGCCTGAAGGACCTGCATCGGAGTTCCAAAAGGGCCGACCTTCTCTACGCTGCTGATGCGATTATCGCAGATTGGAAGCCGACTACGGACAAAGAGGAATCGAAGCGAAGACTCGATGACTACTTGAACCTCCTGACTAAGGCGAACCAACAAGGAAAACTCTCTGCCGAAGAGGACAAAAAGTATTACGACGAGTTCAAAAAGAAGGCCGACAAAAGTGACATCGACGCATTCGAAACGAGCTCGTCGGAGACAGACCTGCGAATAACCAAGTACTTGAGGTACCGAGAGTCAGCTCCGATCCTGAAAGAGCTCAAAGAATTGTACTCTCAAGAGAAGATCGACGAAGACCAGATTTGGCAGGTAATCGGAAAAATCAAACACCTTTCCGATTTCTTCCATTCCTTGAACCCGTCGGAACAGAAGTGGTTTGCAGAGAAAACGAAACCACTCCGGGGACACAGTTTCCCCTGTACCCCGATGTAATTGACGGGATCTTCGACGACAAGACCGAATGGAAAGTACCGGAATCGCTGACTGATCCGGATTGGAAACAAGGCTTGTCCAAGCCGGATGCTTTGATGCTGGGCCAGGTGTGTTTCCTCTGCGATCCCGTGATGGGACTCGGGTATCGACCAAACACAACTCTTCGGTTGGACGTTGAGGGCCTGTATTATTTGCTGGCCATTCCACGAACCCTACGAGTGCTCTCCAATCCCAAGAATGTCAAGTCCAGGCCCTTGGACACCTACGAGCACAACTTGGTGATTGCATTTGGTAGCGACCAGGTGAGGCTCTCAAAGGAGGCCGAGGCTGTTGGGTATGCCAAAAATCACACAGACCAGAAGAGCAGTACCTGGCTGGATTCGGGATTTGTGACGGTGAACCAGAAGATAAGCCAAGTGGTGACACCCTTTTTGTCTACGTTCATCAACGGCCAGATCGATAACGCCAGGGATCGAGAGCATAAGCGCCTTGCCGCCGAGCATCACCGGACCGCCACTCACGTTGACCTGACTGTCGGCAACATTGTCACCTACCAGCAGTACATTGCGGCCAATCTCGGTCAGTTGATGGAATACACGACGGTGTGGAAGAATCCGTACGATGAGTTGCGCGATGTTGTCAACTCCTTGCTCGCTGCAGGACTGAGTATGATCCCGGTTATGGGTCCCATTTTCGCCGCTGTTGAAACCGTCGCCTACGATGCCATGTGCCATCCAGAATGGTTTGAAGATCCAGCTAATAAATCGAGCCTTGCTGCTGGTACAGTTGCGGGATCTGGGAATATGTTTAAAATGGTGAACGGAGCGAAACTGTTTAAGTACCTTCGCAGGCGCTGATCGGGGTACGGGCCATCTTGTTCTCTGAGAGGCTAGGAAGTATTCGAGACCTTCATCTGCCATGGTCAAGGTCAACCAGGAGAGGAGAGAAAATGTCATTTTTTTCGGGTCAAATCAGTCAATATTTCATTTCCATTTGGTCAAGAAAAATTCGCAGTCACAACTTCGTTCCCTTGGACCTCTTTCGTTCAACTCGTAGAAGGATTTTTCCTCTTAAGGATCGTCAACGACTTCTTCTAGTAGCCATGAACCGTTTGCTACGGTATGGGTGTCAGTTTCGGCTATCAAATAGTCTAGAACAAAGATACTCACAGGAATACACTTGGAAACGAACCATGTAACGCCGGTAATGAGAAAGCGACACACAAAATTAATCTATACCACCTCCAATCTAAATTATCTTGAAGGAGGTCCACGTTCATGCCATACAGGCTCTAAGGATTCCAATCAGTCAAGGTCTTCAGAAGATGTACCTTGAATATAAACCGCCCCACTCAGCGAAACAAACATCAGTGGCAGGAAAATAACTATCGAGATTAAACACAAACAAGCCCTGTAATTCATGTAATATTTCACTCATAGTAATCCAGCTAAGACGCTTAAAACTTGCTGCCTCGTTTGTGCAAAACCTAAGCAAGCTCCTATGGTGTTAATGTTAGTGCCTGGAGGAGAATTCTGTAAGGTAGCTTATAATCTGCAAAAGATATCGTACAGCCTACTCTATATGGTCAAGCTTTGCGGTCGCTTCTAGGTTGAGTCCGCTGATTTCTTATTTAAGCTACGGTTTATATTTTTTTTTAAGTGAACTATTACTTTTGACTACTACGAGGAGACCCTCGATATGCGATTACAGACATTGCCGGAGGTCTACACGCTCTAGAGTTGTTAAGAGTATACTACTTGCAGGGTAGAAAGCCTGTCAACTAAGTAGTAGAGTAAAGCACCAAGTCCAATTGTAGCAAAGACTGTTTCTTAAGGGTTGAATCCCATTCCTCAAGCATCAATTTAAATACATCATCTTTCATGCAAACAGGAACCCAACACGAAGCAAGGGGGAGACGAATTCACTCCACACTCAGCATAGGACATACATACACCTGCGCAAGCTAGCACTCCGTACGTCGCACCTATGGCCTTGTATCTCGCTCTATACCGGTACATCAACGGGCCAGGGGCCAGAGTCCAATTTCCTGGCACCATCGGCAACTATCATCACATATACACAGACGTAAGCCCAGATACCATGGCGCGGGCCGAGCTGTACCTTTCCCTCATCAAGTCGGACGAATCACACGGCGAGGAATTCAATATAGCAGACACAGACACGCCTGGGCCGTGGAGTGCAATGTGGCTCAATTTAAATACAGCATGTTTCTTGCAAACAGGAAACAAATACGAAGCAAGGGGGATACCATGGCAAAAGGCCGCCGCATGGCCAACGTATGGCACATACTGTGGGCGCGGCCTGCATGCAGTGTGGCTGTCTCCCGAGGGACTGTAGGTTGACCGCCGGATGGCCACCGCTGGAGGGAGTGGGACTCTGTACTTGTCCGGATATACCTATAGAGACAGCCCGCACATGTCCACTGTTAGATTATGATCGCCCAGATATTCAATCAGGTTACCATCTCAGTCTCAAAAGCATCATCAGCAGACCAGCAGTTTACTCTACGTTAGAGCCATGTCCATCCGAGAAAGACTGCTTGCAACAGTCTCGCAATACATTGCCGCGTACAATGAGTTCGATCCAAGTGCTATGAAGACCGTTCGCACACCAACCTGCCTTTCCCATGGAATTGCACCGACCTGCAAGTTTACTCAGAGTGTGGAGGAGCACACGAGACATATGATGTTATCGCGAGGAGTGTTTCGATCTGTCAATGCTAGCATTGTCGACGACGACACTACGGTTGTTGATGAGGTGTCAAGACATGTTGTTGTGAAGGTGAAAATCAGGTGTGAAACGACGGTTGGGCCCTACGAGAACGAAGCAATATTTATAATGGCTATGGATGAGGAGGGAGCCCTGGTAGATGGGATCTTTCAATTCTTGGACACTGCCCGTTTTCAGCAGTTTCAAGGACGTCTCGACGAGGCTCAAGAATCTAAGAATTGATGATGAATGGGCATGTATCAAATTTATTGTGCTTGGAGAGGAAATCTTGGTATTTTCTGCACAAGTTTTCAAATTAAGTCAAGTAAGATTCCAAAGTTTACGATCAAATCATTCCAATCACAGAAAGCTGCTATGAGAGAGGGGTGTTTAGTCCCAGATACTCAAGTTTTCTTGCCTTCGCCTGACCGAGATCCTCAAAGTTGCATCGGGAAATAGAAAGTTTCCCGAAGAGACCACTTTAGAACTTGCCTCATCAGAGATTTTCACATCATACTTTAACAGAATATGACATAGTAGGATTTTGATTTTCGTGGCTGCAAAGAATCGGCCCGGGCATGAATGCTTTCCCAGTCCGAACCCCATATGATCCGGCGTGGGCGAGACGAGATGTGCTGCGTGATCGCCCGAGTCACGACGACGTAAAAATCTATAGGGGTCCCATTCTAGTGGGTTTTCATAGACGGCTGAGTCCCACACTCGTGTATTGACGACGTTGATTGTTTCGCCCTTTGGGATCACAGTGCCGTCATGTAACGTTATCTGTTCAGTAACGTAGCGACCCATACCGACTGCGTGTTGCGGTGACCTTGAGGTTAGCTCACCATCACTCGAAAATGAAGCAACGACACCTACAAACAACGACAGGTTTGACACGCTGTGTTTCCTTTAGGACGCTGTCCAACAGCTTAAGGTTGTACATGGCAGACTTCTCCCATCCATCTGCCCGCAGAACCCTGACCATCTCCTCCCGGAGCTCTTCTTGGAGTTTTTCCGAATCGGGGAAACGACAAATATCAGTAAGTGTCTGAATTATGAGGTCGGATGTAGTATCAATTGCCGCTGCAGCGAGGGAGATCTGTGCCAGTACGGGGTTGTATTTCCGACCGCCTGCAATTTCTTCAAACCAATCCAGAAAATTCTGCTTGTTTCCATGCGTAGAGTTTCCCTCTGAAAGTATGGGATCGAGCATTAGTGCCGCCTCTTGGATATGGCGTCGTAGCTTCCCGCAAGATGACAGGAAATACGTAGCAATGGGACGCAGAATTTCCGGCCACTTGCAAAGATCCAGATCCGCCACGAACATATCAGAGCTATAGTTGGTGACAATGCTGAGCCATTTCTGATCGCGGCCGAGCTCCTCGCCGACGAACATGACTGCCGACACTCGAGAGACAAGCGCGGCTATGGTGGACTTTAGATCCAACTCATGCCAACCTAGAACACCAGATTAGAGTGGCACCTTGCACGACTGCGTGGTGACGTACAATTACTATTCCCCCATTGCGTTTCGAGAATCAGTGTAGTTTCATCAGATATCGGTCTCATCAACGCCCCTTGAGTGCAAAAAAAAGTAAGCTAGATTAACGCATGCAGACAGCTGGCTCTTACCGATAGACCTGGTTAGCTTAAGCCGGATAGCATCTTTCATTACATGCTGTGGCCGCAACACCTCGAAGCCTGACACGTGGGCGTGGAACTCCTTTGCTATAAAAACATCCGCATTGCAGGCTGGATGACTTTTAACCTCGTTGGCGTATTCGGGCCCAAGGATTATCTTGGGCCCTTTTTGAGAAACCACGCGAAATGCACGCGCCTGTGGTTTTTTTTAGTCACCAACCCAGAATCAAACAATTACACACAATGCAACTGACCTTCTGAAGCCCTTTTAAGATAATGCCCCGTCCATCGAGAGAAAAGCGTCGCCTTGCCTGGTACTGTCCTATCTCAAACCACCTGCGTCCGTTTACGATTGGGAGGCTGCATTTAGCTGGTGCCAGCAGCTTGAATATCACAAAGAGAACAGGTATCGTCCACAAGATATAGAGGCCAATTCTGTGGTTGGGTAGAGTTGAGAAGGAGTGCATTGCGCTACTGATGGGAAGTTGCAACGTGGTTGTGCGTGATGTTTCAACAAGCTCTCGTCCAACGATGTAAGATGCGTTGAGAATAGATTCGCCTAAGTAACATGGCGATTTTCTGTCCAGGGCGTCCTTTACCGCTTGTGCTACCTCGAAGGATGCCCCTGCATGCTTGAAGCAAGGGCTTGGGAGGACCGAGGTCAATGTCGAACATTCATCATTCCTTCAGCTTTAAAAAAAATTTGTTTTGCAACTCATTGGGCAGAGCTGCAGCTACGAGGAATTTGTCATAGTTGCACAGGAACTCTTCCTCGAACTAGGCTAGGGACGCGGTTCTCTTACATAGTCTGTCTATCAGTCAATCTGGACAACTTGAACTCCCATATTCCGAGCATCGAGATTTGTTGAAGGATTAATCCCTATCCGATCGCATCAAATGCCGTCCTCGTCGGATTTCGAAGCCTTTGCCCTGACCCCTCTCGATCAGGCAAATGGCCAAGTTTTCTTCTTCTACAGCATATCGTATCAGGTGCAGAATGAAGCTTCTGCCCTTCGAACCATCCATAACGGTATCGATGTCCTTCTCGAAAGGGTGCCGTTTTTAAACGGGGAGATCGCGTTTGCTGCCGCAGTTCCTGGCGCGAACAATATCCTTACCGTCCGACCACCCACGGCCAACTCCAAAGATCAAGTTCCACTAGTCAAGGTAAAGCGCCATTCCAATCGCACTCTGCCCGTCGAGAAACTAGAGCAGTCTCCATTCAACGTACCTCGGAATCTTCCGCTTGACGGCCTCTTCAATCCACTCGCCGCATTCCCAACCCCTGATCGACCAACACCTGTCATTCGTTTCCAAATCAACCTGGTCAATGACGGCCTTATCCTGACGCTGGCGTTTAACCATGCGGTATTCGATGCCCTCGGAGCCGCGGTGATAGTAAAGCTTTTGGCCGAATCGTGTCGCAACCAGGAAAACATAGGAATGGCCGGGAGTATGGGAATCCCTTCCACGCAGGCACGAGTGCAAAGCCCATTGTTGGCTCTGAGCTCGCGGCTGAAAAAACATAACCATGTTCATGCAAATGCGCCTTCGTCATCTGAAGTCTCTGAAACAATCTCTCAAAGACCGGTCACGGCACCTCCACCATTGACAGATGAATGCTTTGTCTTTTGCGCCGAAAAACTCCAGCAGCTGAGGATCGCTTGTGCCTCTATACTTGGAAAGTTAAATGAGAATCAGAAATCGCGAGCAGGTCAAGGAGATATAAGGTTTCTTTCGAGCAACGATGTCCTCACAGCGCTCATCTGCGAATCGATAGCTCAGGCACGGCATGCCGCCAAGCATACGTGCAGAGATGAGGACCTTCACGCGAAGTCGAGTGTCTCTGAGTGCCTTATGGCCGTGAACCTTCGCAAGTTCGTTGAACCTCCTCTCCCCGATGACTATATGGGTAACGCTGGTATCCCGCTGCGCTTCGAGGTCAGGACTCAACGACAAGCCGCCCCAGACTTCCATCCGGCAATCCGGGAAGTACCCCCCGGTTTGAACACGTCATCCTTCCTAGCCATTGCAAAGACGGCTTATACAATCCGGGCCAAATTAGCGAGATTCGGCGAATCTTACATCGACTCGCTAAGTTCTTTCCTGAACGCCGACGAGAGTCAGACGGCTGTGAATGTCCTCCCGGCTTGCGCTATCGTCTCAAGTTTAAGACATATCAAAACATACGAGCTACAATTTGGAGTGGAGCTAGGGGAAATCCAGACCTTCGAAACCGGCACACCGTGGGTAAATGGGTCCTGTATGATTCTCCCCTTGTGCGCAAATAGCTCGGATGTGGCAGGCTCCGCGCCCTGGAACGTGCGGATAACGCTGGACGAGGGTACAATGGATTGCTTCAAGAATGAGCCGGCTCTACGTTGGGCACTATGGGACCAAGCAAAAAGCAAGGTTCCAGGCTCGTGCAACTGCATGACTGATGCGTAGGAGGCGCTTCTTGCCGGAGCAGGCTTGAACAGACGGCAAAAAGATATCCGATGCAAGGGTGGGGGCAAAGCTATTATTATTATTATTATCATTATTCTTCTTCTTATTCTTATTTGTTGAATTTAGATGGTACTCACAAAGGTCTAATGCACACATGAAAAGCGTGTGCTTGCAGAAGATAGAATTGAAGAGAGACTAGGCACAAGAAAGCAGAGAATCGGCTTGTTGGACAAAGAAGAGTATGTCAAGTATGCCCGTGAGCTTTCCTTGTGTCATGAAGAGATGTCAAACATGATGCAATCTAATTAGAAAACACAGCAATATTTGTATCACGAGGTATAAGGCAGAATAACAAATAAAACAATATGAGCATTCCTGAGAATCTTGGAGTGTTGAGTAGTCTCCTGCCAAGATGGGCAACTGCATGTAAGATCATTGAAGATCAATCTGATAGGTCTCGTCGTCTGAGTTCGTATCATCCAATGAAAGGTAGGAAAAGTGGGTCCTCGGTCGCATGTCGGCTGCACAAAGGCACGTATCCGCATATGCAATAGTTAGTTAACCACACATGCTGACATCATTGTTATTCTTATTATTCTTCTTCCATTTTAGAGACCTTGTGCCAGTCATAGACTATGTAAGGTCTGCCATTTCCCTTTTAGGAAAGTGGACTTGGGCTAGCTAGAACTTTAATATACATGAATATAAGTAGGCAGATTTTTGGGACAATATTGAGAGCCCCAGTTAGCAGGGGAAATTCACACACACGATCGCCAGAGGCTCCAGTTATAGATCTTTTCCTATACTCAGCCTCCACAGTCCTAGAACAACCCCAGTAAAACGTGCCATGGAGGTCGTCCGTTACTTCACGCGTAACCAGAAACAACTGCCTGCTACGGGACCGAACGATTCAATTGTCCAGCTCCCTGACATCCCACCGTGTTACGAGTGCAATGTCGAGGTAGCGCTCAGATTCGACTCCTCTCTTGACTCCGAGAAACTACAGCAGTCACTCAAACAACTGCTTGAAATCGGAAACTGGAGACAGTTGGGCGGCCGTGTGCGACGCAGAGATGTTTGTCCGGCCTCTCCTTCCCAGTGTGCAATTTTAACCACTCACAGACCAATCCAAGCGCTTGCAACTATGACCTTCATGTCCCTGCTGAATTCACAACCGAACGCCCTGCGTTTAACTATCAGATTTGGGAATTGTCGGGCGCGATTGACGAGCACCCCACTGCCAGCAAAATGCCTCGACCGACGGACCCGAAGAAAGTATCGTTCTACAACGTCGGAGACGCTCGTTCACCCTTGAGAACCAGAACCCGTTATCCAAGAAAAGCGCAGGAGTGGGCCGATTCAGATTTACCCCCACTGTCATTTGAGCAACTCAGCTTCCGCGATGGGACCATCATTCTGCTGGTGTTCCCACATATACTAATGGATGCGACTGGATACGGCCTCTTCTTGAAGGCCTGGACTTCTGTCCTCCAGGGCCGTATCGATCACGTTCCCCAGTGTTGCGGATTCTCCGAATCTACCACCGACATGTTGGGTCATAAGACGCCTGCTGGGGCATTTACGTGGCATAACCATCTGTTGAAGGGTCTCGATAGCTTGAAATTTACCGCAGGTCTTCTATGGGAGAACAGATGGGGAAAGGAAGATCGCGTCATCCGTGTCCCGGCCAAATTCATCATGCATACACGAGACAAAGTCCTTGCCGACTTATCTACATCCCAGCCATCACCGTTCGTGAGTCAAAGCGATGTACTAATCGCTTGGTTTACGCGGGTCGTTCTGGCAGCCCTCAAGCCCCTCCAACGAAGAACCTTGGTGTTGACGAACGCCTTTGATACCCGCCACATGCTGCCGCCAGAGCGTGCGTATCTCCAAAACTCCGTTTGCATGGCCCATACAATGCTGCCTGTTGGCGAGGTGCTCTACAATCCCGTGAGCTTTCTGGCAAACGAAATTCGGCGCAGTCTTGTACGCGAGCGGACCGAAGAGCAGATTCAAGCCCGCTGTGCCTGGGCCAAAGATGTTGGAATCATGCCGCTTCTTGGAACATCGGATATGCTTCTCTGCAACGTCTCGAACTGGAGTAAAGGGAACCTTGTCGATTTGGACCTTTGCCATGCAGCTGTTACTGAGCATCGAGGACCATGTGTTCCCTCGAGCATCTTGAATTGCAGTCAAATGGGGGGCGTGACGCCGAACTATGGTATAATTCTAGGCAAGGATTCTCAAGACTGTTGGTGGATGCAGTGGCATTTGCCCAAGTTCTGCTGGGCTGGGATTGAGCGGGAGCTGGACACCATCAATCAGATCCGTTGGGAATAGATCAGATTAGACGCTGTACTTGTCGGCAATTTCGGTTAGACTCAAGATCAACAGATTTCTCGTAATGCGTGGGATTTCCTTTAGAGTCTTTCATCCGCAAATCTGGAGTTTCTACTCCTGAAAGTGGACGCACAAGTATGCATCTTGCCCGCGGTGTTCTCGGGGTCATATGTACATTGGTGTTTTGGTGCCCACACAACGATTATGCATTTCACCGAGCAGAAAATGCGCGCAAACTTGGACTGCGGGCAAATAGACATATGTCCTTTGTCAGCTGACCTTCCCGATCTCCCTCCTTGCCGGGAACCAAGAAAGGGCATGATCGTCGACAATCTTGGGTTGACCTCTAATACAATGACAATAGACGACCAAGTAACTAAGTTTGTATGTGGCAGGAGTTGTTTAAATAAGCGGTTCCACGACCATTTTCACCGTACTGATCAACCCACCTGTCTTTGCGCTACTCTACTATCTCCCCTCACCTCAACCCATCACCGAAGGAATGTCTCCTACACGCGATGAGCTCTTATGCACGGCTCTAGACTTTGTCGCCCAATTTGCCAAACTCGACCCCGAATCAGTCCTATCATTTCTGTCACCCAGTTGCACCCTCCGCTCCTTCCCATCCAGCCTCGGCAAACCGCCTTTGCAAACCAAAGAAGAAAGCAAGGCGGACTTCCAAGGGCTAAAGGATTTTTTCCACAATTTCCAGCTACGCGTCAAGGACGGTGCGGAGCCAGTCGTCGACGAGCCTGCGAGGAAGGTTGTACTGCATATTGAGGGGAAAGGGGATTCCCTGGTGGGTCGGTTCGAGACCGAGTACATCTACATCCTCCAGATGAATGAGGAAGGAACAATGGTGGAGGACTTTTTCCAGTTTGCAGATTCGGCAACGAGGGATGCATGGGGGAAGAAAATTGAGGCGCATTTTTCGGCGAAGAATTAGATAGGCTGTGTTTGGGAAAGGTTCATAGATAATGGAACCCAGTACGGTGAGAAACATTCTCGGGCCCCCGTCTGCCGCCTCGATTGGATAAAGCAAGAAGGATGTAGGCTGATGTACTGTGATACGAAGGCAACTATATTTTGCTTTTTCTGTATAGGTAGACCAGGCACACCGCACTTATTAATATTAGCCCTTGCTTCGCTGCACAAAAGTGATCGGCATTGAGCCAAGGATGGAAGCCACATATCACCATAGGAAGAATCAATGCCATGAGAGGTATACATGTTATCTTCCTGGTAGTACAATCCCTGCATTTGACATTTATGCAAGGTTTGAATATTGAAGTACGTGGTTCCTGGAAATGGAACTGCCAACTAAGAAGGCACGGCTCGTAACTTAATTTATACACAAGGGAAATGCGGACAAGAGACCTTCAATCACTGTTTACAAGAGTTTGAAGTGCAACATACTCTACCAATATCTGCACTGAATCTGTGACCGTCTATACCACAATCCTTTCTCCGGCCCCAGCCAAAAGACTCGAGCTATAATGGCCATGGTAACTCCAGGCCTGTGGGCAAATTTCTCTCATTCATCTCATGAGCTTGGGATTGCAAACGGCTTTGAATTTCTTAACAGCTTGTTGGTTGCCTACAGGCTCCCCGGACTCCTACTACTCTTCTCGATCACAATCATTCTTTTTCAACCTCTTCGAAAAAAATCTGATTTGCCATTGATCAATTCCGGAAAGGGGCCCTTTAGTATACTACGAGGGTATCGCTCACGGAAGACGTTCGCCGCCGAGCTACCGAGATTAGTTGCAGAGGGGCTTTCCAAGGTACCCATCCATCTATCCTCCAGCTAGTAGTAACCGACTGAGCCCAGAGACAGGCAAGTGCCTTTCGGATCGCAGCCCCAGACGGAGTCAACATCGTGCTTGCTCCATCGTATGCGCATGAGATCGGGGAGCATCCTGACTTGAATCCCGGCCCAATCGCCGGTGACGAGTTCAACTGCCATATTGATGGATTCGAGGTGTTTGCACAACTGGGGACCAGTGATGTCATCTCTGAGTCTGTGAGGACGAGACTGACCCGACAGTTGAGTAAGTGTCGGGCTTCATTTCTTCTCGCCTGCGGATGAAACATACTAATATACCAAATCCCTTAGCAAAATTGACGCCGCTTCTCACCAGCGAGACCGCGCTTCTTCTGCAGTCCCAATGGAAAGACGCACCAAGTATGTAATTCACCAGTAATTCCATCGCTTTCGCCACACAACCTCTACTGATATCTCGCACTAGACTGGGTGGAGGTGAGCCCGCATGAGACGGCTATGTTTATTCTGTCGCGGCTCTCTTCTCTCGTCTTCGTTGGAGACGATCTAGGGCGCAACCCGGATTGGGTACACATCTTAACATCATACAACAACGAGGCTTTTGCAGCAGCCGAAGAGCTCAACCTCTGGCCTCAGATACTTCGACCCCTCGTCGCCCATCTGAAACCATCATGCCGCCAGCTTCGTCGATATATCCGTGACGCACGTGCGCTTCTTATCCCGGTCATTGAGCAACGGCACCATGCCCAGAGCCAGGGTGATCGAAGAGAGTATAACGACGCGATAGAATGGCTCAACGAGACGTCTCACAGTCTAGCCCAATCCTACGATCCTCTATTATCCCAAATGCTCCTTGCCATCGGCTCTTTCCATACCTCCAGTGACCTCTTGGGACAAGTCCTGCTTGACCTCTGCATGAGACAAGATTGGGAAGTCCTGGTCGGGGAGCTCCGCAAAGAAATCATATCCTCGCTACAGGGGGTAGGGTGGGACAAGATCTCCCTGAACAATCTTAAACTGATGGACAGTGTGCTGAAAGAGTCTCAACGTTTGAAGCCAGCTTCAACTGGTAAGCTTCCTCTATCACCCTCCTTTTCCAAGTTGATCCCCTCCTTTTCTAACTTGGTCATGCACACAGTAACGATGGGGCGATACGCCTCGCGCGAGATCATACTCTCAGACGGAACAAGAATTCCCAAAGGCTCAACAGTCTTTATCGCCAACGTGGCCATGCGAGACCCCAATATCTACCCTGACCCGGATGTTTTCATTCCTGACCGTTTTACCACTCGGCGTGAAAAGGGCGATAGTTCCGCCTACCTGGTTTCGGCTTCCCCAGAGCATATAGGCTTTGGCCTTGGTCGGCACGCGTGCCCGGGAAGATTCTTTGCCGCCAACGAGGTGAAGATTGTCTTGTCCCATATGCTTTTGAAATACGACATTAAACTTCCTGATAATGGCGCGGCGGTTGCACCCAGCACGTCGGGGATCTTCTTGGAGACGAATCCCAATGCTAGGATCTGTGTCCGGCGAAGGAAGGAGGAGATTTTGATCTAAATTAACTTCTAGTCATTGCTTTTTTTTTTTCTTAGTGACTTCTGTCCGCTATTAGATAGTTGGGCAAATATTGGGGGGTTCCGCAGGACCGCTTGTTGACGCGAACAAATAATGACTACAGTAATAAATTACGATACTTTCACTATAGTGGTGGAGACGATCGCGGCTCTTTTTGAGTACTGTGCTAAATATCTTCTAGTAAGATGGGTATGCGCCATACCATTGCTGATCAGTTCTAGGCCTTCATGGACGCGGACGTGGCTTGCGCTCAAGTCGCTCCATGCAGCATAAATGCAGATTGTCCCGGGGTGGGCCTACAACTCTTCGCCACTCGCTCGCTGTGGATCAGAGTCCCAACCCAATGCAAACACGCAACTAGAGGAATGCAGTGCAAATTGCTCCATCTTCGGGCCTCCATAATTTCGTCCACCGAGACATAAGTGGCGGTCTGTGGTCATTCATAGCATTTCAAATCCTCACAAAAGTATCATCCCGATTCAATCTTGTTTGCTTATCCTCCTCTCCCAGTATCCTTTGCCTACAATTGCAAGGAAATGAAGCAACATCTATAAGTCAAGATTCAAGGAGATTCATCCTGCCGTGTTTGCCAGAGAAGAATAGCGCGGTGACCTTTCTCGATACCTTGGATTCGTTCCTGCGATTACTCGACCTATACAGATAACTGGTGCACGCTGTTGTTATGCTCAAAGTTAAGTAATAGAGCTAGAGAGGGTAAGAGGATGAGTACAGTGGTCTTCGCGCGGCATGAATCAAGTCATCCTGCCAAATGCATCCAACCTAAGGTTCTGATGTTCGCATTCCCTATCCATCTCTCCAATAACTTTACAGAGGAACCCTAATCCTGATCATCTGTCGATGCTTATGGGCCCCCTTCCAGATAATGTAATCTCTCATAACTGAGTAGCCCTGGTCTTAAAAGGGCGCAGCATCCCCGAAAGAGATACGGTTCGCCTCTAACCGGTGTTGGAGATCCTTAAGCCTTATCGTATCATAGAACTCGTGGATCTCCTCGATAAGCCTACAGTCGTCCGTCATCTTCAGAATAAAGATATACTCATTCTCATAGGCTCCAACAATGCTTTCTGCGGAAGTCTTAGCGCGGATCATCACTTTCCTGGCAGCCTCGTCGACAAGGGTATGGTCTGGTTCGAGGATGGAAAAGTCAAATCGTTTGAAAGTAGCGATGAACTGCGGGAAGCTTGCACGGGTTTCCTCGTTCGTTACGACGTTTTTGTCGAAGCTGGGGCAGCACTGGTGGTAGAGGCATGTTGGCGTGCGAATATTGAGCATTTCCTCTATGTCAAAGGACCCGAACGCTGAGACAAACTTGGTGGTTGTTGCGAGGAGCTTTTCTCGTGTGGTGGACATGGTTTTGGGCCTTGTCTTGTTAGGACGGTAGGCATGTGGCTATTAGGGCTTGGTGGAAACTTACAGCTTGTTGTCAGTGACAAGGATAACAGAGATTCGATTCAGAGTGGTGTTTGGCCTTTGGTACACTGATATATCACCTGGCGTTAGTGATTACGTAGGCTGCTGGTTGATGTCGTGGACAGTCCCTTACTTCCTGTGCCGATTTCTAACAGTACTCGTCATAAATTCTGTGCTAAATAGCCTGACCCTTGCCTAGCGCGATCTCGTTATATTTGGAAGTTAGGTTGGGCACCTATGCCACCAGGGCAGCCATGTTATTTACACATCACATCTTCCTGTGGGGACTCCTTCCTGTCTGCTTCTGCACAATTTAATGTTGTGTAACATGATACTTTGAAAGACACCCAGAGAACTGTACCTTGGCGTCAAACTACATGAATGCCCATGCAAGCCCCATGTTGCTGAAGCACCTAATATGAATTCATATCGAATCCAGGAAGACTAGACCTTTATATTCAGCGTTGTACTGGGGGCCGTTGCCCTTGCATATCGGACACTGAAGTCGCTTTTCAATATTTGTGCGGCAGTTTTATGCCTCCCAGTGATTCCTAAACCATCCTTTCGCCTTCTACCGCTAAAACCCCCGTCCCGCCATTTTTCGATCCTCGTTTCGAGTATACAACAATCAGTGACACTGAAAATAGGCTCAGCATCCCCACTCCGTCTCCAGAAATTTCCGCCACAGCCCCCACCGACGAAATCTACGCCGCCTTCGAACAGGATGGTTGCGTTATCATCGAAGGCTTCGTCCCGCCGGACCAAATAGCCCGCTTGATCTAGGAGATCCAGCCCGCCATGAAGAAAATCCAAGTCCAGGTTACAAACGACGGCAATAGTAACGACCGCGTGAAGCGGTTCAGCAAGCTCGTCACCACAAGCCCGACCTTCGGCCACGGGATCCTTGAGAATGACCTCATGCACGAACTCCTCTAGCGCGTCTTTAGTAAGCCCGGCGAGGGTGGCCCACTTCGGGGAGACAATGGTCCTCGAAGTGTAACCAGGCTCCCCCGCCTAGCGCCTCCACCGCGATCAGGACGAGTGCTTCGTCAACTTCTTCTGCGCCGTGACCTTCTTCACCTTGGAGAACGGCGCCACCCGCCTCGTCCCGGGTAGTAATCGCTGGCCGGAGCTCACGCTGATCAACGCGGCCGAGTGTCCGCAGTACGGCAAGATCGAGTCCGCGCCGGCCATAATGCAGCCTGGCGATTACTATATGATGAGTGGCAAGGTGATCCACGGAGCCGGCCCCAATACGACGCTTTCGAACCAGCGCCACGCACGCAGGCGATGTTTAGGTTCCGCAGTTCAACCCAGCATTTGATGTTGATACGGTGCATTATTGGCGTAACGAGGGGACGGATGTCGGGAAGCATCTTGGCTTGATCTCGAGCGCTTAGTGTATCTTGTAAAGGCGAATGTCGTTCTGGGAAATTATACTTAAAGGTCACATGTTTTCATGTCATCGACATGCTCGGATAGGAATTCAACATTCATGACGGACCTACACCGTACGTACACTTCGCATTCATGGTGAGACAAGGACAAATTAAAGGAACAGAATTGCAAATACATCAATCTCACTTTAGATAAGAAATTTATCGAAAGAGGGATTGACTATGGTCATTTACGTGGAAGAAAGTAAAAGCGCTGCTATAGATTCCACGGATCAATCAGCGCCGTCGTCAGTTACTAGCGCCATAGTCAGTTACTAAGGATAGCGCCAACTTAATCAGGGGAAATTTCCTAAAGTAGCCTTCTGGCCAATCATCGTGGGTATCTGTTCCAAAAACTAGGGGCTCTCTGATGCTTAGGATGTTTTCCGATGTTTCTACAATAGAGCATATTCTGTGGTACTCGCGTCATCATCGGTCTTGAAGGTCAATATCTGTTAAGACAATGGCCATCAAGACAATTTCCTCTGTTTATGTATCGCCCCCGTTAATAATCGGCGTAAAGACATTGTTTTCTGCCTTTTTCTTCGCACTAAATTTAATCTTTTGCTAGTCTAGGTTTCTTGAAGATTATTTCGTACATAAAGTATGGATCTTAAATCCAAAATGCAGTAAATGAGATGCGTATGTGATTCGTAACTAAAGCAAGTCGCAACTCTGCTAATGGCAGAGGCAGTCATGATAGCAATTCGAAAGTCCCCGATCCATAAGTCTCGAAAATGATCCAGTATGTCCAGTCACTCAGCTCCGTATTTCTGGTGTGATGCAATCGCGTATATGGCTGTTTCTCTCTCTTTCTGAAGATATATGTAGGTCGTAAGTTGGTTTTCAGAATCAGGTTAGCTCGGAGATCTCCGCCAGATCTCTCAGCTCCAACAGACCAGGATTGATAGTCGCAACCTCTTGAGGGTCTTTGCGCCCCTGACTCCAAGACTGACCATAAAAGGTCACCAGAGGGCTCCCACCGGGTCCGAGTGAAGGGGGAGCTGCCGAGGAAAATTCGACGGGCTCGGGTGCACGGCGCAGTTCAACGGCATACGTATACAGAGGATCCTCGCCAACGAAGTGTTGAGTATAATCGGTTGTATATGGCGTAGCCTCTGGGTCATTCCGGTAAAGCGCATCCACCGGCAGGCGGAGGGGGTCGAAAACGGGGTCGTTCAGGAGCGAGTCAAGCACAGCGGCTTGCTTTCTAGACTGCCCCCGAAATCCTTGTAACCAGAGATGGTAGAGATAGGCTTGGCGTCGGTATAAAGCAGCCAGCTGCTTGGATTCCCACTCAATGGACCAGAGCTTCTTGCATATCTCATATAAGCCGGTTGGGTCAATATTTTCCAGTTGGATCCGAAGGGTGGCCGCTCTTTTGGTCATAAGCTCTGACATCCGGCAGTACTCCTGGAGTTCGCCGTGGGTCGTGTCTCGGAAGGTGCGAACCATTTGGGGAATGCCGAAGTTCAATTTTTCCTGCATGTCCCGGATTTCCTTGAGCTCGTATGGGAGTTTGGTTGGTAGCTCCGGAGCACCAGGGTTAGGGATATCGGTAGTGTTGGTCATGATGGCTGCTCGCTCTTCTCTCTTTTGTGAAGAGAGTAAGAAGGAAGATTCCGGGAAAGATGTGGGTTGAAAAAGAAAAGTCACAAAGAGGGATCAGTCGATTTTAATCGTAGACCTCAAAGTGACTAGGAATGAGAGGGGAAAGAAAACTCACGCGAATGTTATGCGATTGGAAGAAAATGAAGAAGTATGTAAAAAAGTGAAGCTTGTGAGAGGAACAAGGCAATATGACGTTGGGAAGTTCAAAGTGATGTTAAGCAAGAGTGGAAAGGAAACAAAGCGGGGATCATAAGAGCTTTACAGGATGGTCGAAAAAGATGAACTGAGATTTGGAAAAAGTAAGTAGTAAGCTACCAACGAGAGATCAATTACAATCATTCCTGAATGTTGAATCGAGGTTGGCAGAGTAGAGGCAGTCGTCTCTCGGCCAATTATGGGACGACGTGATATCGCCAAATGTCTGAAGTAGATGATAAGGCTTATAAGAAAGAGGGAATAATCCGTAAAAAAAAAAAAAAAAAAGAAAGTTGATAGCACACTATGGAGTGTATCAGTATTGAAGCGACTCGGACACTGCAAGAGGTTCAATGATCTGACCTGGTAGTGTGTTACTCTGAAGATATCTCGGTACCTTTTGCCATAATCTGGATCGGAGTATTTGAACTTGCCGTCTACTTGGGATGGGTTCGGGAGCTTGTCCCACTGAGGTATCTTTTTGCCAGGTGTATCTTTAAGAGCAACCCATCGCAAGTAGAGGGCAAGTTCATATGCAATAACAAAGACTGCCAAAACATACCGGGATACCTGCGACGCTAGACACCAGCATGGTAGATCATCGAACCTCTCGCAAAGTCGAGCTCTCCTAATGGAATGTTGAGAGAATACCATTCTCTATTCAAGGTCTCCCTTAAAACGGTCAAGTGCGCAAGACTGGAGTTGGAAATTCTCTCTAACAAGGCTCTTCTTATAGCATTTTACCACACCGTAACCACAGCTCGATGGAGGTTCGTTGCTCATTGTCTTTGGTTGTCTTTGTAGGACCAGCACATGTCTTTCTGCAAGATATTTCAAGCTTCTTGTAGATGCTTCTCTCCAGAATGTGTGTTGCCACGTTTGTTCGATGGCCTTTGTAACCCTGGCCTCCTCATTTTCTTGCTGGCTTCCTGTCTTCTCATTCCGTTCCAGGGCCACTGGTTGCGTCCACGTGTAGAGACATGAGACATCTTCAAAAGTAAGGCAGCAAGCATTGGGCTTGAGTCTCAAGACTGGAAGCAACTTTCGACCGTGGTGCATGTTGACGAGCTACTCAGTATGTCTACCAAAACCATCAAATCAAGACCAAAGGCGGCCTAATAACGGCAAAGACAGCATCATTCAAAGCAAAAATACAATATATCGAAGATCCAGTCCACGGGATATGCCCACCGCCATCCATTGGCCAACCCACGAGTACTGTAAACCCTGACGGGGAAGAACCAAAAGGAGACCCAGTACACAATCCCTCCAAAGCACGCTACACCCATTAAGTCTAGCAAAATCCGGAGTGTGGATCTGTGATCTCTGCTCACCAAAAAAAAAAAAAAAAAAAACAAGAATCGGGGGAGAAAAAACCCCAGCTTCTCCAGAGAGAAAAAAAGTGGCACTCTTGCAGCCAGTGCTCAAACGAGATTGGTACTTGGGCTGGCCGCTGGAGAGACAAAACCCCGTTGTGGCTTTTAGGGGGGGATAGTAGGGCACGGCAGGAGATTTGCCCCAGGCACGAATGGGTCTCCGACAGGAAGACTATGGAGAAGGCAGGAGGAGGGAGCACACGTTTGTACTCCGTGGTTAGTACAGAGTAACAGTTTTGATGCTATGCCCGGATACTGGATATGGGCCACGGCCAAGACGTCCATCTTTCGTTAGTGCGGATGCCCTGGCATGCAGCATGTACGATATACTGGGTTCCTGCAGAGATCGATATCTCCCAGGCATTTCCATCCCTACGATTGTCTCCGTGCTGATAGCCTAGAAGAGACTTGCCCCGTGCAGTCCGAGTCAGGAGATCCTGCATAGCAAGCATCCCGTATGTTTGTGTCGATTCACATTCCCGACACTGCTCAGATCTGCGGTGGCCCGGAGCGCCTCGTGGGAAGTCCATGCGACGATGATTCGCCTAGAGGATCGGAAAAAGCGCGGAAGCTCCATTCTTCAAGGCATCCTGTAAATATCCAACCCTCGACGCAGTTGATGTACCGTATGAACGAACGGGGCCCGGTTTCCAAAGAAACGCCCGATCCAACCAGGTACCGCGTCAAAGGGTGAAATTTATCCAGAATCATGGTCGTTCTGAGGCCAGCGTGTCTGGTGAAATTCAGGAGTTTCTCGTACCTGAGAACGAAGCCGATACATCCCTGGAGTGGGATACTCTTTGTCTAGTGTAAATATACAGGTTCCACCGGTCCACAGCTGTCCCCATCAAGTGGATACGGTCGTCACCCATCCCTGATGAGACGAGACAGGTGAAGCCGAGCTCCGGAGTTCGGAGGCTGGGATTTGAGAGCTCGTCTGACATGGCTATGACGATGGATATAGATTGAGAGAGAGAGGTGTGTGCTCTACGGATACCGTCAGCTTTGCACAGAAAGAGGTCAATGTTTATATTCTCCCACCACTCCAGAGAGGGATTCAATCCGAGTGTCCACCATTAAGCTGGACAGTCGTCCCCATCTCCGAAAGGGGGGGGGCCAGTGGATGCCAGCTGGCCTCAGCTGGATCCATGATTCCCCTTCGCATGACCTCACGGCGGGTCGATGATGCCTCGATGAGTCGGTACTCGTTTCCTGTAATACCGTTACCCGTAAACACCCGAGTAGGCCCCCCCCCCCCGTTCCGCCTTCCGCGAATGGCTTCAGTCAACTCCGGTATCATGGTAATTTTGTGTCCACCAACGTGTTCTCCATACTGTACTCGATCAACTCCTCGTATAAAAGGAAATAATAGTTTACCAAGTCCAAATTCCACCGACTAAATTCTTCCCGGACACCAGCCAGAAAATATAAATAATCTCCCCCATCTCCCCCCTCCGTTTTCACGTAGCTCGCTCGACTTCTCTAGATCCTCCCAGTCGCCAAACGGTCCCGGCAAAAAAAACCCCCTAACCGCCTAGTAGGGCAGAATATCCCTGCAGGAGGGAAAAGAAAAATCGAGCTTGTGTGGGTCCCGCCAAGCTCCTTTCGATCCCGCTGCGCTGCAGCCGGCGCAGATTTGATTTTCCCACGGAATGATCGCAGAGCCTCCGGACCCCTTTTCGCCGAGTGGCCCAGCGCAAGAGTCCGCGCAGTTTGCCATTGAGGCCCTTCCGGCCTGGCAATATCTATATTGAACGATTCAGCGCATTGCGCAGCATCATATGGACCGGGTTTGGGGCAGGCGGTTGTCGGTCTGGGGTGAACCGGAAAGAAAGGGCCCAGTTTTGGCGTTGAAAATCGGGTTCTGGCGGGTCGGGAATCCTTTCTGGTGGAGGCCGAGGGAAGCGAGGATTCACGAGTAGACACGGACTCGCGTAATTTTTCTTTTTTGCCTTTTTTTTTTCTGCCTTTCCACCTACGTCTTTCTCGGAAGTTACGTTGGCTGTGACAGATATAAAAGCCGCCCGAGATCCCTCCGTCCTGCGGGTTCATGCGGAAAGGTACTTTTCGCCTGCATCACGCGGCTCGAGCAGGAAATACGTAGAATTGGTTCCTTATCGCCAAATTACAGCGTACTCCCGTACTTTGTAAGGTGGCCAGAAAAAGGATCATCGGACTGGCTCACAAGCGACGGGTGCCGAATCCGGATCCTCTCAAAATTACGTGGCACCAAAACGGACGACTCGGTGAAGGAGCGGTCCCGAGGAATCGATGGCTGGGACTCCACCGGAACCAGCCATATTCCGCCGGCGGTTGCCCAGTGAAACTGTCGCTAGTGGACCTGGAATCCGAGTCGGCCCGAATTGGGCGACGCCGGGAAGAAATCCAGAAACGGAGTGGAGCAGTTGCGCGTTATGATTGGTTGTTATTCTAGTGGATCGAGTGGATTGACCCACTCAATTGGAACTGGATGATCCACTGCAGGGAAGGCAGAGTAAAAAAATTAAAAAAGTAATTTAAGCTTATGGTTTCAGAGACTGGACAGTCGGGTTCTCTAGGGATTGCCGGTCTCGTTTGCTTCGCATATACCGAGTGATCATGGGAGAGGAAGAAACTGCTTTTTTTTTGTGATAGATAGGATGGATAGTTGAGAAACATCGATGCAGGGGGAAATGGAAACTGGGTCAGATGAAAGTGGGCCACTCCATCTTTGTATTGGAAAACAAAAGATAACCGCTCCATCCCATAGTGGACCATCTCATTCTCTCCCTGCTCCCCCAATGAAGATCCGAATGAACCCGACCCCGTTTTTACAACAGGAGTCGTCTTCCGTAGTTGATACTGTACCCTTCCCCCCTTGTGCCATCCGTATATCCCCCGTATTGGGCGTATGGTAAGAAATGAAAGAACCGGAAATACCAGCTCCAAACGCGGTCCTCCAACATTCCATCTATGGCAGTATCCGTACAGTACGAACGAGTGATGGGCGAGTGAAATACTCAGGCGGTCCGCACAGAGTAGGGCTTTTTTTCACGCCGCGCACTAGCACCGAACTGGGAGGGCGGACGGGCAAAAATTTGCCCGTAGAGTATTTATGTCCTGGGCAGACCTTCTTCCGTAGTTTCCCAGCTTTTTCCCTCCCTGAAAAGTTCCCTTTCCAACCTATATCCTTCCTCCCCCCTCTATACATCACCAAAACCACCCATCACAATGGCCTCCCGTGTCTTCGCCCAGCGCCTGGCTTCCACCATGGCCCAGACCTCCAAGGTCGCCCGCCCCGCTGCTCGCTTCCAGCTCAACGCTGCCACCAAGCGCACCTTCACCTCCCAGAAGAAGGCTCCCGTTGCCACCTTCGCTACTCCCAAGCGCGTCTCCTCGCCCACCCTCCTCCAGGCTAAGGCCTTCCAGACTGCTGCCCGCCGCCAGTACTCCTCCGAGGTCGCCACCGCCATGGTCGAGGTCTCCAAGAACCTGGGTATGGGTTCCGCTGCCATCGGTCTCGGTGGTGCCGGTATCGGTATCGGTCTCGTCTTCGCCGCTCTCCTCATGAGTGTCTCCCGCAACCCTGCTCTGCGTGGCCAGCTCTTCTCCTACGCCATTCTGGGTTTCGCCTTCGTCGAGGCCATGGGTCTCTTCGATCTCATGGTTGCCATGATGTGCAAGTACGTCTAAGCGTTTTGAAATTGGAGGCAAAACGACTACCCTTCCCGCTTGCTTGTGGGTGAGAGGGGGGCAGAGAGTTATCAAAGAGAAAAAGATCTTCATGAGGGAAAAATAAGGGGAAAAAGAGAAAAGAAAAAATTCCTCGCTATAGACACTTTTTTTTTTTTTCTTGGATTCTTCTTGGTTTCCTTGTCATCTCTTTCCTTTGTTTTCTTTTATTTTTTTGGCCGGGGAGGGTATTTGGTCGTGATGTATTACCATGTACTACTTTTCAGCGTCATCTACAACACCTTTTTCTTTATGTACATATAGAGTCTTTATATGGCCCACTCAACCCAACTTCCAACGAGCCAAACCAAAACTCTGTGTGTTGAGAGTCTCGCTCTCCGGCTGTGTATCACCACCAAATTCTCTCTCCATCTAAATTGTGTGTTGTTTTTGTGTTGACTCTATCTACGACTCTCTTTTGTCCTTGGATCTTTCGAACTACTTTTGCTGGTAAACCGTAGCTTTCATAGCAAAAAAGCAAAAAGCAGTCATGATTCGATGCTTCTAGACCGAGAAAACGCCTCCTCCAGAGCTCTCCATTTTGCCCAAGCTTCATGCTTTGTTGGGGGGAGGGTGGACATCGATCGTTCCGACCCCCCTGTCTCTCCAGGTTTTGATGCCTCCGGCCGTCCGGACCGCCCAACGTAGCAAACTTCCAGCGACGATTACCCACCAACGCAGAGGTGTTCGAGGTCAATGCTTGGCCAGTACATAGCATTGATCGTATTCTATCGATTGTCCTACTTTTAATTCCTATCAACCCGTTCGTCAAAGTGCACGCCTAGCTCAAAGTCCTCGGCAACCCCAGCGCAAAACTCGCACTAGCTTCCGGGACCTCGGGGAAGCGCTTGCCGCCAGGTTCGGCTGACTCAGCCGCGTAATATCAACGACGGATTCGGTCCAGGAGTATGTCCTGTAACTTGACTACCGATTTCCTCCCTTTCTTGTAGAAATCTTATTTTTTTTTTGAGTGGTGGCTGGTGAAATTATATGAATCTGTTATTTAAAAAAAAAAAAAAAAAAAAAAAAACTGCTCTAGAGCGGTTGGTTGGGTGTTGGATGGGAATGTTACTGTAGCTGGCGTTTATCCCGTTGCGGTCGGTGTGGAGATTTATATGTTGCGGGTGTTGAGCATACTTTGAGGATAGGACAACATACCATGGGCTACTAACCTCGTTGCTAGCCTCGAAAGATATGGAGGTAATCAGGTTCCTTTATGTCAATCTACTAGAATTGTCTCAAATTACCGAGTCGCTTCCTATATTGATCACTTTGCTCGGCACCTTGTTCCCAGTTTAGGACAGGCCGGATTGGCCGAATATAGTTATAGTCACGTATACATATTTTAGATTTCATTAGTCCTGGCCTTAAGACTAGCCAGCTCCGTTGAACGTGTAGACATGGGTAGCTAATTTGTGAATAATGAACTTGTAATGTTCCATACTCGGGCGCAATGGTAGAAATGTTGTTCTAGGAAAGAAGAGTGCAGCAGTTATCATCCAATTTAAACCAAGTTGATTGGTTCTATTAGAGAAACATTTAAGATTATAGACTTGCTGACCAGAGATATCTAAGCTTAAAAACGAATTAAAATTCAAGTCAAAATCGACACCGATCATGCCACAAGTCTCGCCTGCTTAAACGCTGAAAGGACGAAGGTATCAAAAGCATCAAGGGTAGCCAGAAACACCACATAGACCAAAGCATCGGTTTCACCTAAGTGAAAAAAAATAACATCGAAGAGAGGATCGCAAGGAAGAAAAAGTCGACAAGCAAAAAAAAAAAAAAAAGATGAAGGAAACCATCGGACAGTTTAGAAGATTTCCAGGTCTTCAAACTCAACAACCAACCCATCCGACGTCCCAGCCGCCGATGAATTCTCCAGCGTCAGTCCATGCATGGCATCCCACATCGTCTGCCCTCGCGCAATATTCGTCGGCCGACTCGCATAAACCCCCACATGGACAAACTTATCCTCAACCCCATAGAAGAACCACGTCACCTCCCTCAACTTCTTCCACGTACTCCCCACCGCCCCAGGACTCAGCCCGTACGGCGCCGCAGAGGGAACCTGATACCAGATCCACAGCGCATGACCAACGCGCTCAAGCTTAATTCTGAGCGATTGAATCGCGGGACCGGACACGCTCTGCACTAACGGTGACAAACACCAATCCGCCCCGTCGGCCGTGGCACTCACGGACGAAGCATTGACCGTCCCTGACGAGAATTCCATCCCGGCTTTCACCCATTTGCACGGGGGTTGGGCGGGTGATCGGCGTGTCGCGGGGAGTACGTGCCCACTACCCGTACCCGGTGTATCCGATGCGAACGATTGTGGTGCCGCCCCGGCGAATATCACCAGCCCGCCCTGGTCCCATTCCATTTCCCAGTCGGCGCTGACGGTGACTTCGGCCACGACGAAGGGGTGGCGGAGGGATGTGAAGACGATTGGGGCGGTGGAGGTGTCGCCGTTGGGTGGCTTGCGCCATAGATCCGTGTTGGGGCCCGCTGTGAGTTCGAAGTATTCCATGCATTGCGGGAGGGTGAATGTTGGTGGGAGATTCAGGGTCGTGAAGGACGAGCCATCCGGAGGCATTTTGATAGGGATAATCTCCTCCTCTGGTTAACGGTTGGTGAACGGATGTGGTTTTCTTTGCACTATCGACCTGCACTATCGTGCTTCTTCTTTCCTTTGTATCTCGGGATGGAAACCGATTGTCCAATTGTCTTTGATCGGGGAGAAAATGATCGAAACACGAATCGTAGGACTCGGTTGACAAGAGCGAGGCCGAGTCGAGAGACCAGCACTTAATTGAGCGTTAATGTTCTGTAGATCATGGACGGATAGGCCGAGTGTTGAGGCGCAGGGGCGGGTCGTGGGAGCGCCTGGTTTCACGATATAGATACGATAGCAGTCGGTCTAGCTGGGGCGAGAGTAGAAGGTTATAGCTCAAGGACCAGTATAGCCACAGCAAGCGTCGTGGGCAAATTGTTGGGATCTGATCTCAAAAAAAATGCAAGGAATGCAATTGACGAGTACCGTTGCGGGACTCTGCGGATGGCACCGAATGCGGCAGATGGCAAGTGGTATCCAGGGAACACGACCCAAAAGAAAAGAAGAAGCCGAAGAAGTGAAAAAAAAGAAGCAAGATAGATTGTCAAAGACAGAAAAAGAAAGCTCAAGTGAAGATTCAAATCCCCAAAGTTTATAGCGAAACCTGATTCACGACAAGAACTTTCAAAAACTATAATCAACTCTACCCCAAAAGAGGAATTAAAAAAGCAAAAGGGGAAAATGAAACTATTATTGCATCGTGATTATTTAACTATTTATATGAATTGCCTCCCTCCGAACCTCCCACGGGCCTTGCAAAAAGAAGAAGGTCCATTGATTCAGGGGAGATTCAGAGGAGAAGCCTGGGCCACTGGCTGAGCCCCGATCCTCTCAATCCACCAACAGAGAACCGCGAACAACCGAGAAGTTACGATGCCACTGAGGCGATTTAAATTATGGAGACTTGACTACAATATTCTAGTAGAATTGATGGTCATCATATCGCCTTGCCGAGCATGCAGTGGTAAGCTGGAAGCTGGAAGCTGGAAGCCGAATGCTGTCGGTGCTTGATCGCTTCGGCGACAGATGGGGAACATGCTGCGGACCAGTTCGCAAGTGGCGGGTCACCATGCATCTCTAGGGAATCAATCACGTAGTGACGCTCGATCTCTCGAGGATCTAGGGGATCTCGGGGATCTCGCACTGGATAAGGGGCGGTGGGTTCGAGCCACGAGGACGGGGCGATGGGCGGAAACAACGGGCGCTCAAACCGTATACAATCCATTCTGTCCGAGACGGGAGGGCTCTTCGGTTTCATTGTCGGCCGGTCCAGTAGGTGAGAGGAGGAGTCTCGGAGAAGAGCGAAACGCGACAAGGTTGATAGCGGGGAGCTGAGGGCCGAACATCGACAGACTCGATTCTCGGTTGGATTACCCTGAATATGGAGTACATAGGTTTAGTGCAGCTAGTACGACCTTGACAGGTTCGCCACGGGCGGCGAGCTTCCTGCTTCCTGCTCGTGTGGATTATGATTATCACTTTTGGGAGTGCATGGCGAACAGGTTACTAGTTGGTGCTAGTGTCTTTTTGGTGTTCTTTGTTTGTTTCCTTAGGGAGGAGATAATCACATCGTGTACTCCGTACTCGGAAGTGCGTACTCCAAGGACATCTCCGAGGCTAGAGGCAGGACTGGGATCTTCCCTGGTCGGTGGATGTGATATGAAAGCTGGATTGGGGAATTGCCGGCCAATGTCTGTAGTCTGATCCATTGGGCTTGGTCTGACCTGGAGACTTGTTGCTTGGCACAGGGGTCAAGACATCATTATTGGGACGCGAAGGATCGCGAAAGTCGCGTCTCAGCTGGCGTCGGGTGGCGGTGATGGCCGACTCAGCCACTCCAGCCACTCCAGCCACTCCAACCACGGTGTTTTTGCGCTCCACCGCTGCACCGCGCTGAAGAAGGTAATCTGCTGTGGACTGGAAACTGTGGACGGCATCAAAAATTGACCATCGCCGTCTCGGAGATGCCGAAATGCTTGAGAGATCCTGGCGCTGTCTCTCAGCTCAAGCTGCACTTCATGCGGCGTACTTTGAGGATCAATTTGGATTTCCAAGTACGAGATCCACCGTCCATGGACAAGGGTCTCTAGTCCACAATCAACTTCATAAGAAGCCGATCGTCTCCCCGCATTCATTGTACCGGCAGATTGCTCATGATTGCAAGGAATGCTTACCACATTCTCTGGATTAACCTTGGGAGTGATGAGTTGGCAAAGGGGCGCCTACAGGCTGAAGCCATCCGGTCATCTAGTCATCTTTACGAGCGGTCCAGCGTGGGTTTCTGCGGTGGCTAATACGAAGATTATTCTCTCATGACAAGTCTCAAGTCTCTATGGGATCGATGATGAAGACTATATGCAACAACTCATTGCTCAGGACTGATAGACTGCTAACATCGTGGCTTTCCTACTCAAAACCCCGAGCAGAATATGAAGAACGCTAAAAATAGCAGAGCCAACTGCCGGTACTGACTGGAGTTGTCGAGGGGTTTGGGGGCCAAACGAGCAACGTGATGAACCCGCAAAAAGGGGGCCGTTAGAAGGAGAAAAAAACAAGGCACTCCCATAGCCCAGCAGCTAGTCCTCCTCTGGGTTAATCGGGTTGATCTGGTTCCTTTCTAGCCCATGAAATTGGGCCAACTCATGAGCGGCCAAGGAATTTGGCTTTCGAATCGTTCGTATCGTTGGCGCCAGCTGGTCTGCCCTAAACACTAACCCGACCAATGGTGGGCTTCGTTCTTCGCCGCAGGGGGCTCAGCCTCGTATTCAGGGTCAAGTAGCGTCGATTCGCAACATGGGAAGGGTTTTTTAAAGTTGCAACGACTCCACGATGGACTAGTCGGAATAAGCGCTGTTGTTGCTGAGATTTTCCTCTTCCTGTCTTTCTTGTTTGCCCTCATCTCGCGACTCGCGATTTTCAACAAAAAAATCATTGCGCGCACCGACTAGCTAGTCTCTAGAACGGCTAGACAAATCTGAACGGGCATAAGGAAATATCCATCTGATCTGCGACTCTCTCCAGATTGATCTATCCTCACCCTCCCCTGAATCAGTATGGCCCCGCGACGCAGCTCGGGCGGAAGCTCGAGTAGCTATAGCAGCTACTATAACAACCCGTGGTCGGAAGAGACCGAGTTCTCCTTGCGCCTGCTGAGATCCAAAAGTCTCTTCATCGCAGGCTTTGCATTTGACGTGCTCACCATTCTCGCCCTGATCGGCTTCCTCGTCTGGGCCTGCCTAGTTCACAATGGAAGAGGCCAACTGAAGGGCGTTTTTCCTGCTCTGCTCGCATACTTGGCGTACGTAACTGGTTTTCCTTCGGCCCCGAAACAACAGAATACTAACACGAAGATGGACAACTAGATCAATGCTCACAATTCTGGTTTATGAGATCTTTTTCTTCGCAAATGCCACGGTTCAAATGTACTATCTCATCGACCTGATGTTGAACGAATTCTTCTTCATGGTTGCTGGCTGTCTCATCTTCTTCGTCTTCTACCACCTCATCCACAGCGCTCTGGATCGCCTGACCGATGCAGGCAAGCCATACGCTATCGTGGCAATCATTCACTGGGTCATTCTTGGTCTGGTGTCCGTTGTCTCACTCGCGACTTTCGGTTTGTACGTGGGTTATCAGGTGCAGAACGTGCAGAACTACTACTATTCGAAGCTCGCGAAGCCGTACAACAACCTGGAAGCTGCGCGTGCTATCATCTGGTGGCTTCTCTCGCTGGAGATCGTTGCTTGGTTCATTTTCATCGTTGTAAAGGCATCGCATCGATTTGCTTCCAAGGTAAGCCGACCATTCCCTCATTCTTCATCACTGATCTTCCGATCACCATACTAAGCCTCATCCGTCTTTAGCTCCCCATTTTCTCCCTTCTCGGCGGTAGCATCGCCTGGATGGCCCTCAATCTGGCATTCGCCGTCATCTACATTCGCTACTCCCTCGAAGGCTTTATCCCGCCCAACTACCTTTCCTGCGTCCAATCCGTCCTCCAATTCTTCTTCATCGTGGGCACCTTTGTCGGAATCCTGCTTGCCTGCATGAAATGGCGCAGTGTCGATGATCGCGAAGACAAGAATATGGCGGCGCAGTATCCCTACGGCGCGGGCCAGTATCAGAGCTACCAGGCCTACCAGCAACAAAACCAGGCCCAGATGCAGCAGCAGTACCCGCAACAGTATTACCAGCAGCCATATCCGCAGCCATATCCGCAGCCTGCTCAGCAGGCTTATCAACAGCCCGTGGCTCATCAAGCCCCCAAGCCTGAGCAGGTGCGATCGGAGAACTAAATTCTCTGGTGTGGGGTGCAAAAGATTTGGGTGCTTTTGAGACTCGAGTCTTTTTCGAAGTTAACCTTTGATTCTATGATCATGGTTCTAGTAATGGGGCCGGCAAATGTCGCCAGCTGTGATGGATACCCTCCCTTTTTTTTTTTCCTTTTTTTTGATTGCGAATGATGTTTACGAGCTGCTAGGCTGTACAATTTGCCCTGCACGAAATACCCTATTTTTTGATGCCAATACCCAATTTATATAATTCAGATTTTCTTGATCATAGATGGTTGTTGCCCTTGAGTTACCTGTAGACCGAAGAACCATGGTACAAGCACCGAGCTGCTCAAGATTCTTCCAGTGAAAACCTTCACAAATTTATTCCATCTCCCTCCTATCAAGCATACGGACGCCGTAGGCACAGATCTATTATTGTTCTACATGTCAGACAAGTAGTACTATCTGACCCTTCCCCAAAGGTTACCTACTCTGTCACTCCCCATCCTCGCCCCGGACAAAAGTCTTGGCATCAACGCCAGGCGGTGGCGCACCAGAGGCGACAACATCATCTCCATCTTTTTCAACTCTCAAATATCCAACTCCCAACGTCACACAGTCCAGTCCAACCAGCAAGAAGCGAACATGGTGTGCGCAAAGTGTCAAAAAAAGCTCAAAGCCACCGAACTCGCCACGCCGGGCGTCAAGCACAAGAATGACATGTACTACGGCTCGCCGACCACGTTAGGCGGGTCCTCGGCCGATAAAGGGAAGAGTAAGCCAACGCTAGGTGCGACGGGGGTGGGCAAGGTACGAGTCTAATCTATGTTTCTGCTCTTTGCAGATTGCGTGTGAGGGGACTTTGTGTCGAGTTGGGACTGACACTTGCTTTAGAGTAAACTTCTCAGTGCAAAGGCGAAGAATCCGTATGCGGCTTATGCCTCGTCTTGCGAGCAGTGCAAGACCAAGACTGAGCAGGGGAAGAAGTATTGTCAGCGCTGTGCTTATAAGAAGAATGGTACGTGTGATGCACTTTGCGATTCGTTCTTGTTGAGATTGCATGTTCGTGTTGAGTTGTTGTTGACTGGTTTCCTTTCAGCTTGTCCAATGTGTGGGAAGAACCTGGCTGGCAAGTCAGCCAAAGACCAGCCCATCGTGCAAGGACAAAAGTTCAATCTGAAGTAATCGGATGTTCGGGTGCTCAGCTTGAGGTGGTTAACTGGACATTGTTTTATAATATCCCATGGCGCTTGGAGTTTAGGAGGAAGGACTCGATGAGATTCTCGATGAGATTCTCGATGCTTTGATGAATACATTCGATTGACAGTACAATGAGAAGAAAAGAGATATCTAGTTATACATGGCATGCGCGGTAAGAGTATATGCAGTGCGTTGCTGAGAACGCTTAGTGCTAGGAAAGCAAAAATCACCTTTTCCTGACTGGATGACAGCGCGCTGTGCTCTCACTCCCTTCCTGTTCATACACGTTTTTGAAAAACTAAGAAAAAGGGTTGACCAATGTTTGGACTACCAGCACCGGAAGAACCAGGGAAGACCCTCGGGACGCTCGTTTACCGGTCGGCCAGCATGTTCTTAATGTTGCTGTAGTACTGTGGCAGCACATACTGCGGGATCTCATCCTTCGACAGCCACTTGAAATCCTTCAGCTTCTCCGCGCTGCCGGAGAGATCGGCCTGACCGGCCATGATGCGGGTCTTCATGAAAAAGGTCTTCTCGCCGTGGATGGCAGCACCGGTCGCCTGGTCGATGTGGGGCTTGCGGTTGTTGTAAACGTGGTGACCGGCGGGGTGGAAACCGACCATCCAGGTGTTCATGTTGACACCAGCGGTTTGGGAGAGGGTGCGTTCGGCAGCCTATTGAGAACGGACGACTATGTTAGCAAACACTCGGAGAAGGCCCGATTAATCAATCGGGGGTTGAAACACTCACTTCGCGCAGGGTCTCGTCTCCCTCGATAGGCAAGCTGGGGAACTTCCAGTAACCCTCCTTCGACTGGACCAGCAGGTACAAAGTCCGAGACAGCAACCGGTTCAAACTCTTGTGGTCGCCCTTCTGATCCGCCTCCGTCACCCGGGAGAATGGCCGCGGGATCTCCTCCTTCTTACTGGTGTCCTGGGAAGTGGCATTGGCCGTGGACTCGGCATCTTGCACCAGCGCCTCCACCAAATGTTCAGGCTCGCTTTCCTTCGATCCAAGGAGCAGCTCATCATTCCATGCGTCGCTGTCGTACGCGTTGTAGTTGCCAATGTCGCGTGCCGGGGTCCGGCGCTCCTTAATCTTGTTCTTCCAATCCACATCCGCTGGCGTGCCACGCTTGTAGTAGAAGTATTTCGTGAAGGGAAGCGCAAGACGCTCATTCAGGCGCTTCTGGTAGAAATGAAAGGCTTTCTCGAAGGGCTCGAGGTCACGGGTGATCTGGGGAGGGCGGGAGAGGACCACACCGGCGTTGATGGTGTAGACAGGGGTGGTAACGGAGGAAGTGGAAGGAATTGGCGAGGAGGGAGTGATTGTCTCGCTGGTAGCAGCAGCAGCAGAGGCATAGTTGCGGCGACCCAGGGTCTCTTGACAGCTTCTGCAGACGCTCGAGTCGAGTCTGGATGGTCCTGTTGGTGGTGATTAGCGTCTAGATTTTCAACGTGTTACATCAGCAGGGACACGTACGCATCAGCGACGCGATGCGCCGAGCACCATTGGATCCTGTCGACATCGTCACGGTAATGGGACAATGGCGTTCAAATTGCTCTCTAATCTCTCTTCCTCCGTGATGCTTGGGATTCTCCGAGAAAAGTTCCAGCAAGGCGGTCACGTTTACACTAGACTATTTCGGGACTAGCGGGAGACTCATCACTTTAAAACTTCGTCGCGTCTCAAACTCTTCTTCTCCTCTTCAGGCACCCGTTTCCTTATCGTCACTGTCTTCGAATTTTTCTCACGGCCAGTCGATCATTAAGTGGTGCTTAGAACGAATTGCAGCTATTTTTCGCTAGCGGTACCTTCACATAATCCAAGGTGTACTGTTAGATAGCTGTTGCAAACATCTCAGCACCAGTCCAGCCAGTCGGCTTGGTAACAAATTATTCCAATTGCTTTCACGAGCACTATATTTTTTTAATTGCAAATATGAATGAAATCATTTTTCCATCGAAAACTGCCTCATCCTCCACTGCGTAACGCTGTCAACTGCGAATTCAGGATCCGCGTGAACCTGATCGACCGGCTAGCTGAAGCTGATCAAAATGCCCTCCCGCACCACAGGGTTCTTCTTGTCGTTCACCCCGTCGACTTGGACCGCTCCGTTCGTTGCTTCAAGGCTCTCCGTCTTCTTCACCGGTTTCAAGCACGTAGTTTTCTCCACTGGTCCAAAGTGCACAGTCTTCTCCGTCGCCCCAAAGACTCGCAGCTTGTTCCCATACCCGCGCCAGAAGCTGGTACCTAGGCGAGGGATCAGGATCCCGTGTTGCACCTTGTCGTTGATTTTCTTCGATTGAGTAAACGCCAGAACATGCTTCAGGACATGTTCTTTGGCTTGTTGTTCTTCTCCTTTCTCTTGTTCCGTGTCGAAGAACTCTTGGAAACCATTCTTAGGGAAGGTTGGGAAGAGGTCCTCTACCAGGGTGGTCGTCGGAGTGGCAAGTCCATATGAGATGTCCTCGAGGCGCCCTCTCTTTCCCCTGGGGACTTTTCCTCCTTCAAGGTGAGTCGCTAGCTTGAGGAAAGCAATTGCAGTAAGCATACTGTCGTACCCAGCTTCGTGGGCGAACCCTCTGTACAAGTACTTTGAATGCAGGCTATCGATTTCTACCACAGGCATTAGTAACTGTCGACAGCCCCTAGGAAAGAATGAAGCTAAAGACATACCAATCTTGGGAGTTTTGATCTTCGCCAAGGTTTTGTTGAGTTCCTCTAGTGAGGAGGACGGGTTCATGGCGTCAAAATCCTGAGTCGCCAGATACTTGGTGTCCATCATGACAGGGAATGTCTCATGGATCAAGGAGATGAAGTCCTCTACTTTGTTGGGGAGCGGACCGAGAAAGCATCTATAGAAAAAGACCATGTCGGTAAAGCTGTTGTGACCGACGAGAATGGGTCGATGCTCCTTCAGGCGGCATTTCAGCCGTTCTGAGAGTGATTTTGCTGTGATGGATGGGGGATGGACATCCCCTAGGAAGCCTTCGAAGATGCTCGAGTCCAGGCTCGAAAGGTCGCCACCGGCCAAAGCCTCTGCAATCCACCGGAATCCCACATGCTTTCGAATGCGGAAGTCACTCTCCCTAATTCTTGCTTCGTACTCCATCGCACCGCCGTTGCGCTGCTCAATCTGGATATATGCAGGCATACCCCGTGTCTTAAGCCCCGGGTACTCGGTCTTGATCAAGTTGTGCACGAGCCATTTCTGGGGTTTGCTCAAGTCGCTGGGCATACTATGACGGGCTAGTTCCTGCCCATTGTCAAGAGGAGGGATGGTGATGTAGGTCCCGCGTGTCTGAGATAGGCGGTTAGCTTCACGAGAGGATGATCGGCGTGGTGTCGCTAGAAGATGAAAAGAGCTAACCTTCCCTCCGGCCATCCACGCATCAATCAAACGCCGGACCGCCTCCATAAAACGGACATCTCCCTCATCACGGAGGTTGTCCTCGATCACCTCCGTGGGCTCGCTGGGAGCCCATCGTCGGGCAGCTTCCTGCCGAGCCATAATCTCTTCTTCCCGGGACAAATAGCGGATACCGTGGGTGAAGAGCGTGCCAACGTCGAATTTGTGACCGACCAAGAATTCCATGGCTAGATGGCGTTAGTCAATTGTCTGATAAGCGTGAAAGGGAGAACAGCACACTGACACCAGCCCATCAAAGTGCAATCCCGATTAACGTTGAGATTGCGGTCCAGACACGGGTTCAGGGGGAAGTTGTAAGGCCGGAGCAAATAGCTCCCTATTCGTCGTCAGTATTTCACATACAAATAGAAGGCAGACCAAGCAATTCACTACACCTTTTTCTTTGTCTTCACGACAAGTTGTCAATCCAACCTGTAGCACCTGGTACTTTTCTGCGGCGGCCTTGTTTGCTTCGTAGTGCTTCTGGAGGGATCTGTTGCCCTGGAACTTGGCAGAGAGGGCAATGCCGGATAGTTCGAGATCCAGAGCGACGAAGCAGCTTGCAGCTATCTCATTGAGAATGGAAGGAAGGTGATAGGCGAAATTGCTTACCGTGATCTCCATTGTGTCTGAATCTTATGTACAACTCAATGGACCAATGTTATATGCGAATGAAGGGAGGCCGTGGAAGGTTGGGAAATTGGGAAGTCTGGGACAAAAGTGATCTTGAGGATGTTGTGAATGGTGGTCTCGTCCTTAGGTACGTTGGTTTGGTGGATCCCTCGTATACGTCCGTAGGACAGGATGAGAATGGGAGAAGAATTGGGAAGCAACTTGGCTTCAAGTTTGGTGACTTGATGGGATAAAGTCACGTCGAGTTTGGTAAGGGTGTAGAATGGAAGACAAAATCGCAAAGTCACTTGTTGACTTTTTCAGTTGGGCCCTCTGTAGGCAAGAGTCAGGGAAGGCACTTCGAGCGTCGAATATGTGATGAAGGCAAGAGGATGGGGGAGAAGCTGGGTGGAGATTCACGTCAAGGATAGGGTGAAATGAGAAGGAAGAATGATCCTGAAGAAACTGTTGTTTGTGCCTTTGTAGGTTGATAAATCTGGCGGATGAAAGTAACCTGGAGCGTATGAAGATTGAAGCGAGTCACAGTGGTGAAGTTGGTGATTTGATAGATTCGTGATTATAGAGAATGAGGTTCAAGTAAAAGATGAGAGAAGAAACGAAGAAAGAACTTGAAGCTGCTCAGTATGCTGAGGGCGCTGCCCGTTCTAAAGCTTATATTAATGACTGCTTTGTATCAGTCTTCACCAGAAGCGAGGGCGTGCTTGAAGTGCTGGTCAACTCGGAAGTAATATCAAGCTTGGCGTACTGGGAAGGTAGATGTTTTTAATGCCGTCCCATAGCCATGGCTGAGTGTTGTCGGGAAGTGTCTTTCAAGGAGAGGATGTACTTGTAGATGGTAATTCAAGGTATGCCATTGCCATGATTTACTATCTTGGTGTATATACTTGTTGTTTATGCCAGGTACCCTCCTATCTAATCAGTCTTAAAGTATTTCTCCATGCTTCAAAACAAGGGGGTTCAAAATCGGGGTAGAAACTGAATATCGTCTAGTATCATGGGTCAATAATCAAAAGACATAGCTTTCTATTATTCCAAAGAATGAATAGAGACCAAAATACTCAATTACTTGTAATTCCCCTCATAGTTCAACTCGATTCGCAGAATGGGGAACCCCGTCGGGGAAAGGCGATCCCGTGACCAACCCCGGACTTGGGCGAGCCGAGGGAAAACGACAGCCGGTCGCAGTGCCCCAGTTGCTCACTTCCGAAACACCAATTCCCCATTCCCCATCTCTTCCTTGCTCGTGCTCATGGCCTTCTTCTTTTATACTTTCTCCCTTTGATATTTCAATCCTATATCCTCCTGTCCCGCAATCTCCGGGCGCAATGTCTGACGGAATGTCGTCTTCTCACACCCAACTCTCCTCCGCGTCCTCCGCCTCCACCTCCCCCGCGAAGCTCTGCTCCAAGACCTACAAGAAAGCTTCCCAGCTCTACCTAACGCGACGTCTACCGGAGTCGCTTGCCTCTCTCCAACCAATTATCACCCGCCCATCACCCCAAGATGAACACATCACCAATGGCGATCATGCCGCCGCGGCCGCGCCAATCGCCACCGCCCCCAGCACGTGGAGGATCAAGGTCTGGAATCTTTACATTACGCTTCTCAGCGGAATTGTAGACCTCGGCGCAGAGGATGGAAAGAGTCAGTTTGGCCAGAAGGAGTGGAAAGCAATCGCAACGCAAGTACGCGAAGGTGGGATCTGGGAGACCGTCGTGCAGGTCGGTTACCGGGGCCGGGAAGGCTCCGTGGACGCCGAGGTTGTCTACAACTTGTCAGTTTGACCTCCGTGATTCTTTGACCGAGGCCTATGAAAATTTCTGGCTAACACTATCTTTCAGGGCCACTTTAATTCTGAATCACTCATCCTCCCAATCGCTCAACCAACAACGTCTCGAGACCTACCTGTCATCATACGGGCAACCCAACCTAGATCTCGCAGATCGCCTCCAGGATGCATCAGACGGCCTTCAACAGCACCGTGTTTTGGCTGCCAATGGAACTGATACGCCGAAGGACCTGGCTGCTCGAGTGCGAATCATCGAGTTATTCACTCTGCACGTGCTGCCTCGGAACGAAGAATGGGAGTACGCACAAGAGTTCATCAACTTGAGCGAGGTCTTGGATGAGGAACGGAAAGAGCTTTTCTTGCAAACATTGGAGGGTCTGAAGGAAGAGAAAGAACGAGGCGAAATGCGCGCGGCCGAGCTCCAGCGCCAAAAGGACGCGGAACTTGAGCGGCAGCGAGGTAACGAGCGCCGGCAAGCCGAGGAAGAAGCAGCAAAAGCCGCAGCGGCCCAAACAAATGGCCACAAGCGCAATACTAGCGAGGTGGACTACGGTATTGAAAAAAATAGCCCACGCAGCAAAGCCAAGGCATCCAAAGCGTCGGACAAGCCAACGCCGAGCGGCAAATCCAGCTCACGAACGGCGCTTTCGTCCAACTCCAAGAGCTCAAAGAAGCAGGTTAAGCCTGAATCTCGAACCCAAACTCGGGCCGTGGCGACCATGCTACGCAATCTATTCAAGAAGATTATACAAAGCGTGTCTGGAAACCCACTCTCAATAGCGCGTACCTTGCTATTTGTGCTCGGTATCTTGATGGCTATGAGCCGGCAGGATGTGCGTGAACGAGTCCGCCGGATCACGGGCTCAGCCTGGCAGAAGGTAAAGGGTACCGTCGGTATGGGTGTGAAAGTGAGCTATATCTGAGATATTGGCTCACGATGAGATTATTTTCATTCCTGTGTGTTGTAACATGGCCTATCATGTACATTTTGTCTCTCTGGCATGGATACTCCCTCCTCGGCACGGGGGCGCTCGATGTCGCATATACATTTCCTTCGACTGTGATTCTTTTGTCTATCCATGTACTTTACCATCGAATATGAGATCTTCCACGATTATGGATGCGTGGTAATGCTTCTTGGATCGCTCTTGGGCACCGTATGGTTTAATGAAGTGCTTGGGATGACCAGTGGGCAGTGGGCGTGTGTTATTAATTAGGATGTCTAAAGTACCTATTGCCTAGATTGAACTTTGTATGGCGGCATCGACTTGTTCGTGGTTTCCTACATCTGCCGCTCGGTATGTGCCTTTGACCTTGTGGTACCTTCAGGGCAGATCTCTCTAGCAATCTTCGTTCGAAAAAGGTCCGGATGCATACTCAAAGAGGTCCAAATTGCTGGCAACGGTCTCTCTCTCTCTCTCTCTCTCTCTCTCTCTCTCTCTCTCTCTCTCTCTCTCTCTCTCTCTCTCTCTCTCTCTCTGTGTCTCTCTCTGCAAAGAACTGGGATCAGGCGCTGCAACCTTTCCATGAGTCAGGAGAGAAAACCAGTTTTGGCTGCATTGTGGCCCTCGTCAGGGGATGAGCAAGTGTGCTATATCTTCTTCATGGATCTGCCAAATAAAAGAAGGGATGGATTTGCTGTGGCGAGGACTTGGAATTCGGGGTTGTCACGTCCTTCTCCAGAAGCAACCGTATAACGAGACTCGTCCGTGAGAACTCAGAACCACATTCCGGCAGTGTTCATGTCGTTCCGACAGTCTGTAAACATCAATCATCACGACTCATCTCAGACCACACCGCCATGAGTTTCCACCGGTCTTTGCATTAAACCAATCCCAACCTCGTCCAGTCGGCCATCGGCATCAACCTCCGCCTCCCCATCCTCCTTCTCAGCAATCCGGGCGTGCCACCTCCGAAACAACTGCACAAAGAACTGCGCCACACAAATTTGCTCCGTCGTATAGAGCAGCACCGGCACGGACGTCTTCGCCTTGGTGTAGAAATCCACCGGGGCCCACATGGCATACAACAACGGCAGACCTAGCGCGGTGCTTTTCGCGGGAGAGCAGAAGCAGACTGCGATGGTTTCCTCTGGGGGAAGAGACTTCAAGATGGGCTGGAACCAGCGATGGTTGAGGAGGAATTTAGGTGGGCGGGAGCTGAAGAAGGATATGCCCGTGAGGGCGACGTAGAGGGCGATGTTGAAGAGGACAACGAAGATGATGCTTTGGGCAGAGAGGCTTTGGAGGGCGCCCGTTGCGAAGCAAGAGGAGAACGTTGTCCTGAAGAACTGATTAGTATCGAGTTTTCCGAATCGAGTATAAGGCTGATTGAAGGCTGGGTATAGCCGTGCTTTGCCACGAGACACTTACCAGATCAACAACAGCATGCACGCACTCGCCAACTTGGGCAACTTCGTCTTCTGGATCACCCACGACGTCCGATCCGGCCAAGTCCACCGGATCAACTGTCCCACGAACAAAGGAACTAACACGCTCAGCCCCAACTGCTGAAAAACATGTTTATACATAATCCCCAAACTGCCACCCCCATACCTCCACGTATCAAACTCGGCCGATTTCGGCAACAGCGTCACTGTCCAAACGGCCGTGACAAAGGGTCCCAACACGTTCGCTAACAGAACCTCCACCAACGCCGCGGCATCATCGCCACCTGCCGCTCGAGTCATCACCACGTTCGACGCGATAGTCGTCGGAATACATGCCGTTAGAATATACCCCGCCAACACGGCCCGATCAATATGTCCCGCGGGATCGGCGGCCAAAATGATATGCACGACGGCCAGGACCAGCGCGGGGATGAACAGAAACGATATCACCTGGACGAGGACGTGTAGTCGCCAGTTGAGGAACTGTTTGAAGAGTTTCTGGCGCGGGATACTGAGGCCCGAGATGAGAAAGATTATGGCGATTACACCGTAGAGCACGGTGTATTCACTGCGGATTACCCCGCCGTCCGTTTTTGCTATATCCGGAAACAGGTATGCGAGGGCGCAGGCGATGCCCATTCCGATCAGAAGCCACTGGCGTAGGACCATGATGGAGACTTGTTTGAGGGCTGCCAGGAGGCGAGCTGGGGCTCGGCGGGGCCCCAGATCTGATGGGGACGTGGAGTCTTCCATGACATTGATTTAGTGGAACATATCCAGCAACGGGTCTTGATGTGTTGCAGACGTTGCGAGCCTCTAGATAGAGCAGTCAAGACTGGTTGAAGCGGTGGAATTCGTGAGCATTTTTTGCAGGAATCGCGCGATCGGATTTAGTCCGAGGAATTGCGGAGATGATAGCGGTTATTCGATCAGGCATATCATTGTGCTCTACGGAGACGTTGAACGCTGCAATAATCGGTATAACAGGGAATGCATATTCAACAGATACAGATCTCTCTATAGATACAGTATACACGAGCTATCCAGATGCCAATCTACAAACTCTATACTCGGACCGTCCTAAACGGGATTGTACGCCGAAATCGGGTACCCGACCCTACGTAGGCCGACCGTCGGGGCGAATGGCTGCGCGGCATGTGAAGTGGCCAGCACATGCTGACGATGCAACGTGCCTGTGTATCCCTCATGAGAAGGCTATTGTGACTTATACGGAGGATCGTGAAATACGGCTAGGATGAACTATTCCTTCAACATCATAAAAAACGACCATTCTAGCTAGCACAATATGTCTTTAACAGTCGACGACCGGTTGAAAAGGTGGGTAAAACATTCAACCGCCTTCCCTTGCCGATGTTCGCTCTATTCCAAACCCCCAACCCCATCCTACAAGTACTCCGTACTCCGCCGCGGACTCGGGCATGTGTATGTACTTGCTTGTCAGATGACCCTGCAGCTAGTTACTTCACCACAGTATGATTGACCAAAACCAGGTCACGCATCATTTTTCCGTTCTGACTCAGAATTTGTCTCGTAGGCTGACCTAGGCCTCCAGGGGTCAGCAACAGGAGCAGTAGAGCATAATGGTCAACCTCGGCTGAGGGGAGCTTCGTGGGTAATCCGAATTCTCCCGGAACGCGCAACTGGCGAAGCGGATTTCGCTGGCGGCTTGCGGACCGGACCTTTTGGAGGGGGATCTGGCGTCCAGAGTAAGTAGGTGGGTACTGCTCTCCATAGTTTTTGTCCGGAGTAATTCAGCTCCCTCCGAAAACCCTTTAAGCCTGGAGGGAAAAAAAAAAAAAAAAACAGAACTGGTACAAATCGGGCGAGTCTATAGATTATAGGACCGTACAAGGTTAGGAAAGTCTATAATTTAGGTGTTGTACTAAATTGGATACCGGTCCTCTGGTGATAAAGTAGGGATGACGACAGTAGAAGCGTGCATGTGAACGTTCAAGGCAAATTGAAGATCTGGGGAGGGCCAAAGAGTGGGCAGTGCCGCCGTTCAGGAAAGCGAGCCGTGGGGGACGAGCAGAAACATCCGCCCTTGTTCCCGAAGGCCTCGGGATTGGGGAAGTCGTGCTGAACGACGGATCGTGGACCAAATTACTCCGTATAAGATTGCCGAATGACCCTCGGCGGGTATTCTTCGTCGACTGATACTTTTGGTTTTTCCCTTTCCTCTTTCCATTTCTGTCTCTTTTGGTGGTGCGGTTACAGAAACTCTTAACTACACACACAACTTCCGCTCGTCCAGCTTGTCTGCCTCCGCTTCCCCGTCATAGCTACCAAGAACCGCTTTTCTCCCCGCAAGGTTTTGGATCCGCCACTTCGACCGAACCGATTAACTCCGGTTCATTTCTCAGAGACCGAAAGAGGAGAGACAATTCATCTCTCTTCAATTCTGTTCAAATTGCCAGCTTCAGACAATCTTTTGTCGTACAGCCTCTAGTCTTCGGCTTCTATTCCGGCAACGGTATACTTCCGAGCTCCGCAGTCTCTCCGCGATTTTCGGCACTCAATTCGACGCCCCCCCCCCCCCCCCCCCCCCCCCCCCCC